TTCGAAACATCAAAACAAGAAAGGTGCTAGCTATGCATGACTGTATTTATTACTGTGTTGTGCTAGAAAAAATGTCATAGTTGTTTCCGTTGTACATGACAGATCGTTTTGCACATATGCACATTGGTTTCGTGAATGCTAGGCATGATCAGATTTATATTTTGACGTTGTGCAAGCGGGTGGAGCGACACGCACGCACACACACGCACACGCACACACACACACACACACGCAAGCACACATGAAATTCTCCATGTGTGATTGTGTCAAGATACCATGGCAACTAATACCGGTGTTTTGCCTTTCACTTCTTCCGAAATACATTAGTGTTCAAATTTGTACTGTTTAATATTCACAGGAAACCGGTGTTTTAGCCTAAGTATCATCATTGCGTATCAAGCATTGTTTGTATCGTCTTGTTCTCGTGTCGAAAATGATTATCCATACCAAGCTGCAATATGAATACACTGCTCTTAATGTTTGATTTGCGGTCACAACATATTAAGCCCTCCGTGTGAATGTACTGTGTATGTTCTGTGAATGTGCTCTGAATGCATTGAGAATCCACTTCTCTTAATGTTTGATTTGTGGTCACTACGTGTTAAGCCATCGCTGTGAATGTACTGTTGATATATCTGTTCACACTGATAACCGAACCCTTCCTAAACATCTGGCGCATACGTTAAGACAGGAAGCGTTTGATAAATAGTCCCGAATTATCAATATATAAATCAACGAACCTGTCTGTAGGGATATCAATTCATCGACAGCGTGTATTCGATAAAACAGTGGTCTATATTGCTGACAAACGTAAGAGCTTAGAATGTTTGAATTAACATTCTATCATTAACAACAGTATATCGTTATGTTTATATTTTTTGGAACTAGTATCTGTAGTGATTCCCAGAAGTATGGCAATACATTGTGCCACGGTACGAGTAACGTATCCTCAGGTCATGCCTCAATGCAGAGGATACATGTGTAGAATTCAATAATGACATTTTTGTCATATAAACATGACTATAAACTATACCTTCTGTCTGTACATACAACAGGTTATATGACATTGTTAGCTTGAATGAATCAAGGTAATTATACAGTTCCCGGGTTAGAATACAATTCCTCGACATGATAACTGTCACATTGCCACGTTTCGTATAGTGCTTTTTCCGTCGAGACACGACCCGTGAAGATCCGGGGTAGAATAGGTCTTCAGCAACCCATGCTTGCTGTAAAAAGCGACTATGCTTGTCGTAAGAGGCGACTAACGGGATCGGGTGGTCAGGCTCGCTGACATGGTTGAAGTATGTCATCAATCCCAATTGCGTGGAACGATGCTCAGGACATCACTCACTGGATTGTCTGGTCCAGACTCCATTATTTACAGACCGCCGCCATATAGCTGGAATATTGCTGAGTGCGGCGTAAAACAACAAACCAAACCAAACCAAACCGTTGAGACACTCTCGTCACAACATTGCTGGAATATTGCCGATGTAACGTAACATTTAACTTACTCACTCACTCTGTTGAGATACGTATAGTATTGCGACAAAATGTATCTTTAGAACATAAGTTCATAGAGGGCAGTTACTTGTTTAAGGAGTATGTGGATGTGTCAGATATAGCTGTGTAGAAGGTGTTCACGGACAGACGGGATACATGTCGTATTCACTTGGAGATAGCCATGCAGCTCCTCTCCTTGTTATTTGTGAAGTAACGGTGGTTCTCGGTGATCATTACTTGACATGGAACACACACAAACTCTCATTTATATATTAACCTTTTATCTTTACTTGTTCTCAGTGCTATCTTCCATGTTTACAAGTGCTATCTGTCGGTGATAATGACGCTCCCAAGTCTCAAGGCTGTAGTGACATTACACAGAGACAGCACGCAACGACAACACCACTGCACCATTGTAAATACACCAAGTTGTTAGCGCTCAGGGACAGTACTGACTAGCTATGCTTGTGTCGTGGATCTGGGATGGTCTCACGTTGTACAGTGAAACCACCTTGTCCGGAAACTCGTCTTCTCGGACTGGTACTGTTGGAAACGTTAACGTTGTATATGTATATGTTGTATGAAGGAAGGTGTACTCAAACCCATACCCTTGTTTCGTTAATCCGATTTTTTCTCTCGTGAGAAAGCGATCTTAGCGCTAAGAAGATAGCTTTTTGAAACGGGGCCATGGTTAGTTTTTCTCTGCGTAGCGCAATTTAACCCCGTTAGGCCTGGTTACAGCTTTTCTCTGTATTTTGCAAATTCCGCATTCTGGACATGAATTCTCGAAAGGTCCACACATACTACAGTAACTTATACCTATGATTAGCATTAATCAGGTTGATGAATTCAGCGTGTTGTTTGTCATTAGCTACATCACAATAAAGCGCACATTCTTGTCCAAGAAAAGGTGAACTGGCATTGGGCTTTTGTTTGGCGAGTTATGAGGCTGCACTGGTACCAGGTATCTAAAGAATGTGTCATCTGAAAGTTGAAATGTATGTGTGGAGTGCATGGAGTTCAAAATGTCACCATACACTACGACTAATACTTCCCCAACAAACTGCATGACCCACACATCCCTGAACATCGCCTGACTGCATCATGCAGGTTGTCTGTTATCAACAACACCCTTCAGCGTCCAGGTAAACACGAATATGACCTCAGATCTCCCTTTATTGTGATAAATACTTTGGATGCCAAAATACTGGTGCGTGTTTTCATAAAGTTAATACAGTTTGCTCCACGTATTATGTTACCCGTGGGTTGTCATGACCTGTGATGATAGTACACCTACCTATGCGAGCATAACTAGAGCGAAAACAAGCTGCCCTAGCCATCATGTCCCTGTAGGATGCTTGTTTGACAGGTTGCAGTGGCATGCTTCGATGAACGACGACAGAAGCTAGTGACTGTAACTAGCCAGCTCATGTGGAGTGATGGGTTCTCATATACTCGGAGGGAAAGTATTTTATCTGAAATTAGGCATGGCAAATAAATAAGATAGGAAGCGTTACTGCACAAGATATGTTTTGGGTCACCGATTGTTTAGAATGTGAGGCTGGTTTCATAACTTTAAAGCAACCGGTACTACTGTCATATATGGCTGTTATTCTAAACATATCAATGACAAACCTTGTGACAAATGTATGATAACATACACATATCACATGTTAAATCATCGGTATACGCAGTTATCCCAACATCAGTTATATTGTACTATACGTGTATTGATGATGAAAATGAGAGTATATGTGTTGCCGAAGGTAACAGTGTTTCATCCGAATGCCTCTGGGATTAAACTACAGAGGCACAGGTGACGACTAAGGCGGTGATGCTCAGTACACGATACTGGATCTTACGCCCCCTGCTATTAATGTGTCTATATGCATGGCTACGCACGGGCCTCTTATCGGTGTGAAATGTCATTACACGTCCATCTGTGCTGCTCTGGTGGTCACTGTAGATATATCACGGCATCTTATCGCCGCTGTACATCTCAATAACCTCGTGTACAAATTGGAGTGACGTGCCATACATTAATAACATATATCTGAACAAATTGGATACGTTCTGTCATGTTCATACAGATGGCGAAGCTGTGTTGGCTGCAACCTAACGCATATGTTTTAATAGGCTTATGATCATAAACAAAATATGGTCCGTTTCGACTGGTTATTCTCTTGCGTTGACGTTTTAGGTTATATTCAGTTTAAGAGGGTATAATTAGTTATGTTTATTTTAGGTAGAATCTATACCATTTCAAGACCCTTCTACGGCACTGAGTCACTCCTTTAATTACTATGATATTACTACGATAGTTCCTTTAACGGTGTCCATTTAGGCAGCATGCTCTGGGAAATTGCCATCTAAGTTTCTTTACAGCTCATCATAAACATACGACCCATAGCCTCTATGCATGCCCTCTAATTGTAATGGGGCGGTCGGGTAGCCTAGTGGTTAAAGCGTTCGCTCGTCACGCCGAAGACCCGGGTTCGATTCCCGACATGGGTACAATGTGTGAAGCCCATTTCTGGTGACCCCCGCCGTGATATTGCTGGAATATTGCTAAAAGCTAAAACCATACTCACTCACTCACTCTAATTGTAATGGTCATGATCATAACATATTATGCAGTATTTTGTTGTAAAGTAGGTTTATTCAACTATGTAATATTTATGGAGAAAAGTCGGGTTGTTGTACTCCTGTGCATGGTTTGAAGTGCGAGAAGGTTTTGGCCTCTGTCATCATTATCCACTGTGGATGGTGCTCAGAAAAGTAATGGTACTGTATGTCCGTTAAATACAAATTTGCGAGTGGCAACACAGCCCTTTCTTGCGTACTCAGTCCCTCAGTATCATGTGCACACTGCAATTAACAGGATATAAGAGATCCATTACATGTTTGTGGAACCTCTTTAGCCTTATATATTACTTCTTGTAAGGCTATAAAAGCACTTCATACAAATAGTATATGGCGCCTAGGATGACCAACATATGTTCTTGTTGACCATGATATAAATAATGTCACTGACATATCTCATTCGACTGTTCACACATATACATCATCGCTATAACAAGGATGGTATTTCTACTATGTTCTTTGTAATACTGGTGTCATAAATTAACGCTCTGGTGGCATCATTTTAACGTCGAATACTCTTACATTTAGCGTCACTATTCAATAAATAATTTGTTTGATAAGAAGGAAAATAGGTTAACCTACACTTCAATAACTCAGTGACAAACTTTGGCATCATACAGTAGTTAGAAAGTTCTTAAAACGAATGTACTGTTGACCCGTGTCCTAGATGAACATAACACACAGGCGGTGGGATGGCTTAGCGGTTTGCTCGTCACCTCGAAGGGCCATGTTCGATTCCCGGCATGGGTACAAAATATGAATATTGCTGGAATATTGCTAAGAAGCGATGTAAAACTCACTCACTCACATATCAAACATCACATCATAGTTTGATTCTTCTTGTGTTACAGGAAGGAAGTCGAGCAGATGTTTGACAAATACGTGACCAACTTCACTCGGCGCCTGAAGAAAGACGCAGCCCTGAACATGCTGGAGAAGGAGTTCAGTCTCTCAGAGGAGGAAGCCGACATCATCTTTGGCGTATTCGACAAAGATCAAAATAACGAACTCAGCTTGTGGGAGTTTAACCAGTTCTACAACACCATTGGTGGGGAGTAAGTACTGAATAATTATTGTCATGGTGACCTTGCAGTGGAATCTTTACCTTTTCTCTGAAGTATTTCCCAAGATCTCACTTCGTTGGCTAACATGTGTGTATCCGGGGAATCCTGGTATAGTCACCATTATCTCATTGCCCACTAAAGATGACCCGGCCCGAAAAGTTGGCTGATCACGAGTCGGGGTACTCGCTGTACAAGATCACTTTTCACTGATTTGTCTGGTCCAGAGTCGATTAGTTACTTGCCGCCGTCATATAGATGGAATATTGCTGGCTACCGCGTTAAAAATATTCATTCACAGTCACTTACTATATCGGAAGATATCATGTGGTAGACCTGTATGTGTTTATGTCATGTGATGTTTTATGACAGTGGCGTGAAACAACATGCGCTCAGTAATTTGCAAAAAGAACACATTTTGTAGACCTGCACGTGGGGTATTTCGTGTGAATATTGCTGACTTCAGTGTTCAAAGACATGCACTCACTCACTCTGTTAAATCATGCAAATATGGAGATTTGTGGTTCAAACACAGCTAGAACACAGTGTTGTAAGGGAATGTTATGTTTAACTTAAATATAGGAAAGATGTGACTCTCGTTAAATAACAGTCGAATTGATACATATCAAACTTCATTCTAACTTCCGGGGAAAAAAATAAACATGAAATAACAATCAAATGAATAGGACAAACAATACATAGTACTATCAGTTCCCTGTAAAATAAGTGTTGTGTTTTAAAGCACTTTTGATTCCATTTGCACTACACGACTGTGACCTAGTCTTCAGTATTCAGAGTCTGAACATAGATTAGCCGCCCACTTGCAGTTTAACAAACAAAGGCCAAAAGTAAAATTGTATGGACCAGGTGGCATATTTGCGAAAGATCATGGGGATTATGGCCCTTACATGTTATACATGGCGCGAAGGTAAACTGGCTTCTCACGACCTGGTTCACGTTTGACCTCAGTTCTCTCTGAATATGAGGGGAGGATATATATTCATATGAAAGAAACACTTTCGGATGGTATTTATAGGCAAGTTGATGTTCGTGGGGAACTAGTTTGGTCAGACATCGCAGTAATTATAAGTCGTGTGTGGTTGTAAGTAAAAAAGTAACACGTACCGAAAATGTGGGATATAAATTTTGTCCTAAGCTTTTAAAAAGATCGGAACAAACACTGGACATGCTTGATGTCCTGCAAAATAATGTGTTGTGGTTAAAAACAAGTTGGCTTCTTCTTTCAGAATTATTTAGTTTGTTCTTAAACGCTGACTGATTTTTTTTATGTCACAAACAAACACCCCCTACCCTATCCACGTGCTACTTAATTTTCGACTACTAAATTCGAATTCATTCCTGCAATGACCCGTTTTCTCCCTTGTAAGAGAAAGTTTTCTAATAAAGAATATATAAGTGACATCTTACATGTGGAATTGCATGTGGTCACGTCGGTATATAAAGAAAAAAATGTCTTTGCTGTATAATTGCCTATGTCAAAATATTGCATTCCTAAATACATTATTCAGAAAACGAGTCTGATTCACGACAACTTTGTTTGCGCCGGAGGTGACACTGTTTGTCGTGCACTTTCAGGTGTTGGACGTCCTTGTAAACAGAGGTTGCCGTTAGTACCCAGAGCACGTGGCTCGTGTTTACTGTTTCTCGTAATCTCGCGGTAATTGGTGGCTCTTCACGGTATACAATAGTGGCTTAGCGTCAGTACAATATATGGTGGTTCTGAAATAACAAGCTGTTTGTACGAGCTGGTGTGCTTTAGTCTCGCGTAGTCTGGTGACCCTGCACCCAAACTTGACTCTTCACTCCTGAATCTGAAATTACAAACTTTCAACGTACACAATAAGTATGATATCAGGCTGATTTATTGTGTACGGATGCTAAAGTTCACGTTTAAGACACAGCTTGTATTTATCAATATATATATGATAGTAATATACTGTTGCTTGTGTGTATCTAAGTAATAAAAGAGTGCGTTTTAAGCTCGCGAACCTTGTAGAAAGAGGTGTTATTTAAATGGTCTTGATTTGAAGAAGTACAGTATGCTAACAAGATTCTGGACTGATGCTTTCTTGCATCAACAATATTCCATCTATAGGAAGACGGTAATATTCGAGTGTGGACGAGACAAACCAGTGATTAATATCATGAATAACTCCCCACGCCGCCTGGGCACGATGGCACGCAATCACCCAAGATATTACATATTAGAAGCAATGCAATATTACCATATATTTTATGGTTTCTGGTGTAAAGAAGCCTGAAGACTACTTGCAGCTTTTCTCTTTCCCAAACTACTAAGCAAGGGCGGTAATTTACTCAAAAAGGGCAATCGTGGCTTAAGTGAGGCAGTCAGGAGAACGAGGTGTCAACACATGCTTTTACGAATGTGCACTGAACCACGTGTTTTATGTGGCTCTTTCCCATCGCACAGCATGGGACGACCTGGTTTCGCCCAGTGAATATGAATTCCATAAAGACATTATTGTCAACATAAAAGTAGGATTTTTCTTAATCTACACCTGACGTTTATTACTATTTATTAAACGCTACTCTGGAGAACAATAGGGCTTTTATAGCTTTTATATACATCATAAACAGTAATCTAAATAAACCAACGGCCACGTGGTGTTGTTATGGTATGTTGCCACTAGGAATCTTATACCACTCATTTACACCATCGCCTGTTTAGCCTATTCATGATAACATCGCCGGACGTTACATGTTAATTATATGAACACTAATATTACACTTTACCGTACTTAAACTGTAGGCGCCCCGTGCTCTACTACACGCTGTATATGAGGTGAAATGGGGTTTAACGTCGCGTCCAAGATTATTACACTTATATAGCGACGTGCATGCACGTGTGTGTGTGGCTGCTTGTACTAGACCGGACTGATGCCGATTTATAGCGCTAGCACACTGAGATACCATGCCGCAGTTTAACATGAATACCCTACTCAGACACAGTATACTGACTCCGAGCCGACCAGTCCATGTTTAAGCCCCTTAATACCGAGCGCCAGACAGGGTAACAACAAGTACCATCTTTTAACGTCTTTTGGTATGACGCGGCCGGGGATCGAACTCCGGACCTTCCGCTTTCCGGGCGGACGCTCTACCACAAGACCACGGAGGCGGTCACGTTGTATATGAAACCACAAGAACAAGGACATACCTATAAACTGAACTGTACTTGCCTTAATGTGTTATAGTTCAATGCCAGAATCATAAATAGATAACTACATATTCATCGAAATTATAAATGACTCCAGCTACATTCCACTTTCCACGCCACACCTACCGCTGTTATGAGTTCCGTACTCATCAGGGGTGTTTTTTATTTCCTAACATGCACAACCTGAGAGCTACCAGTTAATGAGTGCGTATTTGGGTGTCGGCCTGTTTCCTTAATGTATTGCAAAGGCATTTGATCTTTTGTTAGGCCTGCCGTTGGAGTAAGCTGTTTCAACAAGGACATAATACAAATTCTTAACACAAAATTGCCTTTTCCCACGTCTGGAATCGATTTTCTACTTTAAAATTCTGTCCCCAATTGTTCACGTGTCAGGCAAAAATCCAGATTGTCGTAATTGTCGATTAAGCATTGACGCCCGTTTGACAAACCGAGTCAATCAGCGTCATTGTTTTAATCACTTTCACCCAGTCCCTTCATTTTCAGTCGCGTCAAAGCACGAACTAGGTGGTCTAAATTCCATGTTCATATTGAAACGGAAAATTATTCATACACTCAATTGATTCTTAATCCTATGCATTGTTTTTCTGCCAGTAATGTGTAAGTTTAATGTCCCCATATGCGTAAGTCACATTACTGTTGGTAACACTTTAAATTGATGAATTGACCTCTGAACGGGTGAATTTTGGGGGTGGTCGGGTAGCCTAGTGGTTAAAGCGTTTGCTCGTCACGCCGAAGAACCGGGTTCGATTCCCGACATGGGTACATTGTGTGAAGCCCATTTCTCGAGTCATGGACAAGCGAAGGTGAAACCTGGGGCACGGGTGGCCAAGTCGTCTAAGGCGCCGTGATTCGCTGTGCAGAGTTTCGTCCCTTGGGCACGCCAGAAACCTATGATTGTAGGTTGGAATCCCGGTTGTGGGTGCGAACGCCGTTGGGTACGATTGCCAAAAGGCGACTATGCTTGTCGTATGAGGCGACTAACGGGATCGGGTGGTCAGGCTCGCTGTCTTGGTTGATGCATGTCATCGATCCCAATTGCGTGGATCGATGCTCATGATATCTATCACTGGATTGTCTGGTTCAGACTCGATTATTTACAGACCGCCGTCATATAGCTGGAGTATGGAGCTGGAGTGCGGCGTAAAACAACAAACCAACCAACCAACGTTGTGTACGATGGTACACTACCAGCCAGGTCACACATTGTTATCACCCAATCCCCATGTCAGCTCTTGTGAAACGTACAGGATACCGTGGAACATTTATGCCCAGGAAACTGAACGGGGCTGGTATGTCAGTACTGTTTCTTGAAAATATGGTCGTTTATCCAACACTGGCCGTGAGACAAAAGATGTTCGTCCTGTGGATGCTTAATGGAACTGTGTCCATTTATGATCTATTTCTAAATGTAAATTATTATTGTTTTTATTATTATTATTTCTTTTCCTCCAGTGCCCACACATACCTCGCTATGTTCAACGACCTTCAAAAGGACCACACCGGCTTGGTGGACATCGAGCGTCTGTGGGATGTCCTGAAAGTTATGAAAACTGCCCAGGGCAACACCTTGGAAGAGAAGGACGTGGAGATGTTCATCAAGAGCACTGCTGGCAGCGAGAAGAAGATTGATCTGCCCAAGTTCATTAACCTCTTATGCCGAGTGAAGCTGTTCCGCGGTGGGGTGGAGGCCCACTAGTCGAGGAATCAACTGAAAGAGCAGACGACATACCAGAGTTCTGTGACGGGTGGACATGATTTGATTTTGTGAAAAACACTTTCAATGGCTCGAATCCGTTGACTATCACTGATATGATGAGGGATTTTTAAAATTGTGTTGGATTTCTTCGACCAATCCGTAAGAAGACCGTGTCAGGTTACCTGTGGACTTCTCTGCTTTATAGAGCCTAAAATAGCTTGACGTTTGATTATAGTGCAACTATTAATGAAACGTATCTCACACTAATTACAGAAATATCCAGAATGTAGAGTGTACATACCTCGTCTGTGACAAATACAAAATAGTCGAACAACAATAACGGCAATGTCCTGTACAGAGGATACAAATCTGCCCTGAAAACCAGTTTATGTTGTACCTTTTTGGGGGGGGGGGGGGGGGGGGGGGAAGTCCTACTATAAACTAATTTTGATCTCAGGCTGTAATGATGCATAATAATGCAATAGCAAGTGACGCTGCAGAACACAGGCAGCATTAAATACACATTTAAAGAAATCATTTCAAACTAGGGCAGTTCTGATAGTCAGAACAGACTTCATTTGTTGGAACTAGGTGTATGAGGTTGGGAACTGGGTATATTATGGTTGTTACTGTTGCATATTTAATTATGTCAACGATATAAATACTGAAACAATAAGATCTGTGCAAGTGTTGTATATTTTCCAATCACTTTATATATTGTGAAAATGTCAAATCACTGGCAACAATTGGGTGTCCCTCGCAGATGTATAACCCTTAATATTGACACTTGTTCAGTGTATGTATGATACAATGTGATGCTAGTCTTTGGGTGACAGTAGTCCAAGGTGCTGTGTTATCTCCCGACATGACAAATAACACCTTGCTTGTCAGTCTGACTCTGTCTCTACATACTTCACGTGTTGAAGCATAACCTAAGATATTTAATATTTGTCAGGACATTTGTGGTCACAATTGGCCAACAGATATCAAGGGAGATAACTCGTGTCAGATGTTGAAATCAAGTGGTACTGGTGGTTGTACATTTAATTTCTTTTAGAGTATCACCTGCAAGTGTGGCCAGAATATTCGTAAATGAGATACATAAGAAAAACCTTGGCTTTTTTCACAGTATGTCCTATAAAATGGACACACAAATGAATTTTGTGGATAGAACTGAATAACTGATCATGCCCTCAAACTTATAGATTGGGAAGCCATTTAATGTTGACAAGTAATTCAGATAGAAGATGGGCCATAAAGCCGCAGAAGCTAAAATACCTGCACTGTGGGAACCAAGGGTCACTGCCAAAACATCTCTGTTTGAGAACAAGCTGCATGTCTGCCTCCAAAGTGTTTTCAGTGAGAATTACCCATCTATTGAATTCCTGTGGTCAGGTCACATCTGCATTGATAACACAGGAACTCGTTATTGGTCAGTAAATAAAAATATATACCCCCTATATGTAAGTAGAGATAGAGGGTATATATTTTTTTACTGACCAATAACAAGTTCCTGTGATTGATAACTATTTGATATCTACCACCACCACCTACTTGTATTGCCATGGACCAGTCACCTATATTCATTCATTCATCATGCTCATGTTATAGACATCATTACCATATATGGTATCTAATCCACCATCACTCCATACTTTAACATTTCAAGTGTTTCTTCCATACTTAGGTAAATACACGTTATATTTATGACACACATGTATTGTATGTGATGCAGTAAATTATCAGTACAGGGGACGTTTTCCATGATTTTCTTATGGTGCTTACTTCGATGATATAATCATATATTTTCTCCTGTTATCTTGAAATATCTTGTAGAGCATTAGCTATTAGAGCATGTAGGTGGAAGGGGTTATAATTTTTATTTCTCAGGGCTCCTAAAAAAACGTTCACCATTTGATAAACATGGATAAATATATATCTTGTAATTTCAATGTAATGTTTTACTTTCAAACGTAGGCATGTAATAGTGTTGTTGTGTACAAAGATATTAAGTCTTTGAATGGCATTTAGAAGTGATAAAAATATATTGGAGAAAAGAACTTATACCTAGTCTATCATAAATTTAAAACCCTGCACACAGTTGAGCTTGTCAAAGGCTGTTGTTATGAAGCCTGTTTCAATTCTAGGTAGGTGTTGTAGGCATATAGGACAAATGGAAGTCGCTTACAATATATTGCCTAAACAGCTTCACCAAAATCATGCTTTGCATTCCGAATGTACAATTTTTATTGATATTTCTTGTATATACTGTATAATTTACCTGGTTATTTACCAACTGTAGACAAATTAAAATGAAATAAAATGTATAACCATTATATCATGAATGTTATTGTGTCAGTGAGTGAGTGAGTTGGGTTTTACACTGCCTTAAGCATTATTTCACAGTTGGGGACACAAGAGTGGGCTTCACACATCATACCCACATGGGGAACTGAAGCCCGAACATTCTCATGACAAGTACAACGCTTTAACCACAGGGTCACAGAACCACCCCATTAAAATCCAGTTAAATTGTTCCAATATAACTCGTTATCATTTCTGAAATGTTTCTTAGTTTCACTGTTGGTTTGTTCTTAAACGCTACAATCAGCAATATTCCTGCTATATGACAGTTGTCTGAAAATAATCGAGTCTGGACCAGACAATCCAGAGATATGAGCATTGATCTACGCAATTGGGACACTTTGGCATGCATCAACCAATTATGCGAGCCTGACCACCCGATCCCATTAGTCACCTTTTACGACAAGCATAGTCGCCTTTTACAGCAGGCATTGGTTGTTGAAGACCTATTCTAAACCGGATCTTCACGGGTTAGTTTTATAAAAATGCAGTTTCACACTGATGTGGAAAAGATGAACCTTCTGCAACATGTACATCACACACGTTAATACATGCAGCTTTATTCCATAATGTAAGCAAAATAGTATTCTACTGAGGTAGACACTATTTTTCATTAACATGTTCGGCAAACATTTTCAAGCAAAAAGTAATTAACTAATAATTCTATCAAAAAGGTTCAAATGTACCATCATAACAGTTTTTGGTCTGACAACCATGCTGAAACAAGCAAACGCAATGTATTCCTCCTTACATCATGTACATACAAGGAAGTGTGTGTTGCTTTCTCATGAAGGTTTTCCAAACTTAGAAACAGTGGGGAGCATACAACCCAAGCATCATGAGAGGTGCCAGAAGGTTAACAGTCACATTACCATCTCCTCCTACTGGGTACCCATTCACTGCTGGGTGAACAGAGGCATAGTTTGAACAAAGTCTTGCCCAAGGAGACATGACATGTGTTACATGAGTTTCAGTGTGGGGCAGGACTGAAGCTTACAACTTGTGAAACCAAGGACTACAATAATAAGACTGCAATTGACAAGCCAACAATGAGAACCAGGGTGAATGTTAGATTCAAATCTACAATGAGCCGATTCTGGCCACTTAAACAAGAGAAGAAGGCCCCTTACCACACACACTTACAGCATATAATCTGTAAACAGAGTGCAGTGACAAATGGCATGATAGAGGGGAGATAACTCTGTTCATTTACACTACAGACGACACTACAATCTCCATATCATCTTCTGGAGGCAAGAGCATTAGCAGACTATAAAAGTCCAGTTTCCACCCTTGCCGAAGTAGGCTGGAAATCCGGAGTTACATTTTGGCTTGACGAGTCTATGCATAGTCCAATCAAAATCGAGTAATGAAATCGACATCCGGTTCGTAAACAACATGGATTTCAATGTGCAAAGCATGTGTACAGTCAACTTGGTGTCAGCAGATATTTTGCAAATCTGTTCATGTTTTTAATCAAGGTGCTCACATGATTTGATGCACTTGGCGGGATAAGACCCGTTTTATCACAATATAGAACTTGATTATTGATGAGATCATCTTGACTCTGCACCATCATTTTGTTTAAAGCACATGCAAGTGATATGAGAGATGGAATCTTATTGGTCAATAGGAGGGACATCGACAGGACATAACTCCTAATTGCCACTGGTGGCGCAACGATCGAGCCTGGAAATTAAAGCCCAGTTCAGCAAAGGTGGAAACTGGACTTTGACGGTCAGCTAATGCCCTTGCCTCGGGAAGATGTCTGTATATTGGAAATGTACACCTCTTATCATTCTTTGAGTAGAGATGCAGCTACAAATAATACATGACTTCAGGTTTCAGGTGAGCCACAATCAACAAAGTATATGAATGCTGCATTATTTATTCTACATCTTCTTCAATCACAATTCAAATATTTCATGGCAACTACTTTATTCATATTGAAACAATATAAACGTAGCATTTGTTCAACAAATAACAATAACATTTGCCTCAAAAACCCTGTCCTTCCAGAGACAAGTGCATAATCTCTTTACTTCTCTCATGCATTCACTTCCCTTATAAGATGTCTCTCAGTTACTGTAAATCTGGAAAGTTATTAAAATTTTTATTTATCATCATCATCATCATCATCATCATCATCATCATTATTATTGTTATTATTATTAATTTATATATGGCAGGTATCCAGGTACTAGTATCTTCTCAAATGCAGTTTTATTTTGTTGACGAGTGTCACAGATTAGTAAACTTAAGAGTAATGAGACTATTGAAGGAAGTGAATTCAAGAAATATGCCTCCTCATGCGTTTTGTTTGTTCGTGGTCTGCAAAAATAGCTGTGGCATGAAACTATTGCGAGTGCGTGTCACTTACAGTTTTCACAGTACTTTCCTGCTTGCAAAACTTTCCAGGTTTACAGTATTCAAAGGAGCACTAACCTCAGGTCAATTGCTAGTCCTGGGAAGTTTGATTGACGTTATTCAATTCATATTGACAATTAACACTTACCAATTTACACTGAGGCAATGCATCAGTACAATCTCATTAAAGTCACAGTGCTCGCTCCCACTACACAAGGATCTGAGGACATCCCATTACAGGTCGAGTTGAACACCCTTCACAAACTTTGATCAATGAAAAGACAAACAGGAAGACGACATTAACCAGTCAACTACGAAACATGGAAAATTCTGGAATGTCTAACAGATGGCTGAAAATGTATGACAGGGCGTCCCGCAGGCTATGGAAAGTCTCTTCTGGTTGACATGTGTATTTTACTGTTGTTTGTAATGCTCAGTTTTGACCTTTACGATGTTACCATGGTTACATGATTTGTTAAATACATTCAGATTTTCACAATTTTGTAAACAACACTGTGATTGGTCACATGAAAGGTCATTAACACCCATAATTGTATGTGCGCAGATCATTGTGTAGAGGTAGAAAGAACGAACATCAGATTTTAATGGGATTAATGTCTCAGTGACACATGTGGTGCTTGTCACAACACCTTGTCACCTAATGGGTACGAATCTGGAGCAGTGCCAATAAAAAGTCACTGCTATGTTCAGAATAGGCAACGAATAACAGAAAAGGGAATAAGTTACAATCCCATTAAAATCAGATCTTAGTTCTCGCTGGCGCTTAACAAAGATCTGAGGACATACCATTAGGGGTCACGTCAGGCCGACCTTTCGCGAACTCTGACCGACCAATGGAATTACTGACAAGAAGTCGACATTAGCAAATCAGAAGGCAGCTTTCTCGTGCTTTACGGCACTAATTTCAAATTGGCGACTACGCTTCGAAACATATTTTGGCAAATTCTCGCTTAAACAATTGAAACCTGAACAAAAGAACATTCTTGAATGGCTAATATATGGTCTAGAATATATCGATTCAGTCGTTAAGCCTGTAATTATCTTTCGGAATACCCCGTTTAAAAGTTTTCGAGGTTGCATGATGAGAAATCACATTCCGACTGTCACATTCATGATCTAGTAAGCGACGCTCTGATTGGTCGGATGAAAGGTCGCTCTGATGTGATCCCTAAAGGGATGTCCTCAGATCTTTGTTTAACGATAGCGAGAACTAAGATCTGATTTTAATGAGATTGAATAAGTTATAATCCAGGTATAGTTTCAACAGTCAAATTTCACTGTTACATATAGTGTGTGGTACCTTGGGGAGAAAAGATGCTTTGTCTTTTAAGCATGCGGTCATGCAGGATTTCCACTGATAGTCTAGACCTTTTTTCAAACTTACACATTTTCATGTATCAAGGTGTGAGTATGGTGAAAATAGTTCCAATTAGGCGTGAATCGATACAGCAAGGTCACGATATCATAAGTATCACGATACATGGGTCACGATACGATATGTATTGCAATATGCATATTTACGTCAAATTGCCAGGAAACTTCTTGACAAATAATATTTTAGAGCGGGTTCAAAAGAAAACGGTGCCCTGATGTATCATTTCACCTCTAACTCCTATTTCCTTTAGCATAACGACTGCATATATCGTATAACATTTTTGTTTAGAATCACAGTTTAACTTTCGCCCTGTACAATATTCAAATGCAAACAAATCTTTACATCCAAACTGGTGAAGAATTTCCATTATTGCAACAGTTCCTGTCACCTCACTCCAGATGGTGGTGCTGTGTTGTCATGGATACCAAGATGCTTGTTAGTGAGAAAATCGGTGAGTGCCATGTTGTTTAGGGCCTTAAATACATTGCCTGCTGACAGCTCTTCCACGGTGCTGGAAAAGAGAACATAAATACAATTTGTTTTATCATACCTTCATGTCAGAATGATGAGATCTGATTGGGCCACGTGATCTTGATAAAAAACTGTGAATCCCACCTTGGAGGGTAATAAATTTCTAAGCGAATAATCTCTTATACCCCGCCTAGAGCACTACAGGCTGCACATGCACTTCTGAGAGACAGGATAAATCGTTTATACCTCGCTTCAAAGCACAAAGCAGCACACTTTTTCCGTACCAATGGATGTCACATGACAAGTGCAAGCTAACCTCTGCCCAATCGAGCAGCTGTTTTCTATCAATTTGGAATTTATTTGAATCATTTTACAATGTCATATTTAAACATGTCGGTAAGATAAATTCATTTTATGCGTCCTGAATTAGGTTTTATACTACTCGCCTCCGGCTAATGGTATAAAGCTTAATGCAGGACGCATAAAACCCCATGTATCCCTCATGATCCTGCTACAACTTACAATGTCCATCTTCTGTACTGAAGGATTATAATAGAGGACAAAGAGAACATAAAGAAAAGGACGTTACAAAACAGTGAATCTGGTCTTCGTTGTTTACCTATTGGATTCCAAGTTTGCAACTGAGAAAGTTTCTCTCACAATATCCTCAGCCAGTCTTGACATCACCTGCAGAGACAAATAAAAAACAAATCAGTAACTATACTAACAGATAGTGAAGGAGTAAGTGAGTGAGTGAGTGAGGTGGGTTTAACACTGCTTTGAACAGTATTCCAGTTATATTACGGCGTGTCTGCTTAATGTGGGAGGACAGCCTGAAGTGATGCAGGTCTCAGACGTTTACCACTTTGGTGATACCCACGAGCATGGGTATGGCGCTGACAAACCAAGAAACATAATCGAACCTGGCAAACCAGGATTCGAACCCACAACCATAGGTTTCTGGCGTGCCCAAGGGACACAACTCTGCACAGCAAATTGAAGCACCTTAGATGACTGGGCCACCCCTGGGCCAGACATAAAAAACATAGTTTGCTAGATGTTAATTATTTAATGAATCTGTACAAATGTTACTCTCTTTGAACATAGTTGAATAGTTAAATTTTGTTTCTTTCATTGGTGTAGAAGTTGGGAAAGTAGCTTAATAAAAGAATTGTATGGATGACAATGTCTCTATTTTCACCGTTGGCAGCAGTGAACAAGGAAAAGTTGTCGTCAAATTGTTTGTTGTGGTGCTATCTATCATTGAGATATTAGGAGTACTCACAGTATACATGGTGTCTTCTACAACTGAAGCTGCCACACCAGGTTGAATCTGAGCTGGCTGGAACCTCACTCCAATCTGAAGCACAACCAGGGGTGACATACAGCATACTGTTTTGTTTGTTATCGTTTGTTGTTTATCGCCGCACTCAGCAATATTCAAACTAAATGACAGCGTCTGTAAATAATCAAGTCTGGATCAAACAATCCAGTGATTCATATCATGAGCATCCATCTATGCAATTGGGATACGATGACATGCATGAATCAAGTCAGCGAGCCTGACCACCTTAGTCGCCTCTTATGACAACCACCGTCGCCTGTTACGTCAAGCATGGGATGCTGAAGGCCTACTCTACCCCGGATCTTCAAGGGTTCCAACATACTGACATCTGTACATATAACCATCAATAAATACATTGAGTGATTCCACGGCTTCTGACTGGCTAACCAAGCAATTCTTTTTCATAAACCAGAAATATTTAGGCCACGCCCACTAACAGACTACTGATTCTGATTGTCTGATAATAGATTGGGATGGGCTTGTGTTGTTTTATTACGCTAAACGATGTTAGTAAAATCTAAATATTTTTTACATTTGTATACTTATCCTGCATTACTCCTTAATGCATTCACTGCTTACTTACGACAACTAGAAGGACAGAGCTGCGAAGGTCCTGGGTGAAGAAATAAAGTTGTTGTTCTCAAGTCCCAATCAGTGGCCTTCCGTCGCTGTCCTGTGACCTTGATGACACCTAAGGTCATCTTCACATCACTGCCTGTCGCCCAAGCTCTTAGAAAAACATACTTTTGAGGTTTCTGAAGCCAAAGTGGGGAGGCAAGTCTAACGACGGGTGGGCCTTAAGCGTAGTAATGCAGGATAAGTATACAAATGTAAAAAATATTTAGATTTTACTAAATTTTTTACTTATCCTGCATTACTCCTTAATGCATCTGTATCGGACGGTTTGGAGGTGGGTAAACCTTCAGAATACATAAACCTCAATAATTCACACCCTGCAATACGACCCCATTTAGTCGATAAACCGTGAAGCGGAAAAGTTCAGACAAAAACGCCATTACGGTAGGGTTGTTCAAAAATCAAAAAGATTGAACATAGGAATTAAAGAGAAATTCCCTATACACTCTTAGTAATAAAGAAAATAATAGCTATTCAGCTAATTCTTTACTTACTGCGTCATAGAGCCGTCGCTGACAAACAAGATTGTCTAATATTCTTCCACTGGTGGCGACTGAGTGACTGCACATGGAAGTTGACTGGCTCTGTATAGGGCGAGTTCATTATTTGCGTCAGTGGTTGGCAATCTGCAGGATAACAACCAGAGGGCCAAACTTCGAACGTCTTCGACATCCTCGAGAGTCACAACGCGAAGGTTATGACTAACGAAAATATGTGTCGAATCTCCAGAAATATCCTTCCGTGATTGTTCCAAAACCACAATTGCCGTGTTGAGCCCTGGTAAGATCTTGAGGGTAATTCGCTCTCGGCGAGTTCCGTTTGATGATCTCGTAGGCCTGAAGGATTACTGCGCGTAACCATATAGATATGGTGTTTGCGATTATGCGACTAACTTCTGTCGTGGACGAACCACGCCTTGTCTTGGAGCATCGAATGAAAACTCGAACTGCTCGCACCGAGCCCAGGAGAACTTCACCATGTACGATTCTCACAATAGTCGATATCGGTGGGATGGTGAAGAACGGTCGGGTTGGCCTGGTAGTAGATTTTAGCAATAAAATCCCAGCATAACCCTAGATGTCCCGTTCCGTGCGTCCCATGCTCAAAACGGATCCGGGTTGAGTCGATCACATGTAGTTCGCTCACCCGTACCGCCATTGCTAATGCCAAGAGAAACCATTGTTTCCTTGGTGATGTCCAAGCTCCTCACAGCGATAGCCCGTTCGTGGAGCTCTCTATACTATACCGAGAGTGTAACGAAGGTGTCACACGCTGGGAAGGAGCTTGAAAATGAGGATGCAATGAGGGGCTCGAAGGGGGCCCTCTCAAACCTCGAAGTACCACGTTCAAGTCCCAATCAGGTGGCTGGAACTTGGCCTTCTGATCCTCAAACCTGAATGAGCATAATATGGCCTGTAGTTCCGTGACCTTAATCACACTGTGATTTTCCGGAAACGGCCAACACTAAGATAATTGCAGCCAATTACGTAGTAATGGTGCTACCTTCCAAGTGTTTTTGGGTACGCAATGTAGGAGGTATTCCTCTAGGAATTGTGACGCAATCGTAGGGTCTTGATTCTTTTCTTCCCTGTAAAAAGTCTCAAGTGATCCCCACTTGTCATCGTCGTCTCTGGGAGAGTTACGATGAACTAAAGCTTTAGCTTTGCTGCCCGTGTCGAAATAACCCTTCGCACTTAAACGCCTTTTAAAGACGAACCATGCGTGCAGACGTTGGGTGAGGCAATTTTCTGTTGAGGGTGGATGAGTAGGTTGGACCACTGTGATAGGGGAAGTGAATCGTTTTAGATTTTTCCGAGCTTGACGAACTACCCTCTCGCCGGTTACCATGGTGCGACCAAAGGAGAGATCGAGATACCTTGTCTCCTTGATCCCCTGTAGCACCTTGGGAAGTATAAGTGGTGGCAGAAGAGTTTTAGTTCTTTGCCCTTCCAAAGTGATACTGAACTCGTCCACCGCCCAAGTCTGCGGATCCGGCAACGGGGAGATATACGTCATGAGTTGGTGGCCTAGGCAAGTAATAAACAAGTCAATGTTTGGTTGCCTGAATTCCTGAAGCAGTAACTGGAATGCTTCTGTGAGAAATTTCCACTCAGTGGGAGCCACCCTGTCTGGACGTGATAAAGTATCGGCCAGTATGTTTCTACATCCGGGGATGTGCTGAACTATGAACCTTAGTCATAGCCGATCCACTAGATGGAAGAAATCTGAATGTCCTTAGAAGTGGAGAGTGGGAGTGTGTTGTTCCCCGATTGCACAGGGACCACACCGCAGTGCTGTTGTCTGTGGATATAGCGAGTCGGGCTAACTGTAGTTGATTCTGCCAGTGTGATATAGCCAGAATTAAAGCTTCCAACTCCATGTTGTTTATGTGCCACTTCCATTGTGCGCCGGGCCATAGCCCTGAGCTTATCTGGTCTTGTAAGTGAAGACTCCACCCCTGAAAGGGGACGTCCATAAACAGGTGTGTATTCGGGGAAAACCCGAATAAACAGACTCCGCAGACATTCAGCGCCATAAATTGAGGCAAGGCTCTAGCTTAGTCGGTAGAGTGATGGCCTTGAGTGGATCCTGACTCCTGATGTAAGGGTTCAGGAAAAAATTGGATTGGTCGCTGTTGTAAGCGGCCCATGCTAGTTAACTCCTGTGCCGAGGTGATTAACCCTAGCAACACTTGCCACTGGCGAAGTGTGTGTGGTTGGTGTAGAGTAGATGACAAAAGAAGTAGAAACTTGTGCCATCTGTCCCTCGGTACAGATAGGATATCCTGGTCTGTCTTAAACAGGTCTCCTATGAACTGAAGTCAATAGGAAGGAGAATACTCCCGACTTCGCCTCGTTGATTGTCTATCCCAGTTATTGACATGTGTTGATGATACAGTAGATCGCCCTCCATCTACGACTCGAACCAAGTGTTCGTCACGTGTAGATAGTTATTGGCTTCATTACTCCTGTAAATAGCCATAAGTGTCACTGACATGTCAAATGGGAAATACTACCATTGGTAGTGAACCCCAATGAACTGGACCTGAAAAGTCTACGGTTGGGATGGATAGTCGAGACTGATGAAGAATCAAACGTTCGTTGAACACAGAGATTGTGGATCATTCTCATCTTGTCTGGGTCCTTCATGAGTACCAGGTAAGTGTGAGGATAAAACCCCGGAGTAAAGACTGGGTTGTGAACCCACTCTACAGCTCTTCTTACCAACAGTATGTCTATGTTGGATTTTCCCAATCAAACTGTGGTCAACGGTGGGGTTAACTCTACCCTTATACGGACACCATGATATAGTGCGATAAGTACGAAATCGTCCTTGAGACTTGTCTCTGCCACTCCCTTTCTCAGTAAGGGAATGCTGGTCTTCCCTGAGAAACGCGCGTCTAGGCTTATAATTCCCTGACTTGGACTTTCCAAGCTTTTGGGGAACTTGACGTGCGTGTCTGCGATCTGTTCGTTGAACAGGGGAGTAGATGATCAAGGTTGACGTAATAGACTGCCCTTGAAACCAGCATCTCAGTTGGAAACGTTATAAAGTCTTGGGTGTAACGGTAATCACCGTCAGAACGGTCTCAAGATGAATTTTCCTGTGGTCAAACTGACGCTGTAGGAAAAACACCATAGTTTGGAAGTGATCTAATCAGATAGGGTTATCCTCTAATAGATTCTGATCCACTGCAAACATTGACGATATTGGTCGCTTAAATCACGGAGCAAATGTGAGTTTTGGAGAAGGCTTCCTCCAATGACCTCGTGGTGTCCCTCTTATTTACCCTGTTATCAGGGGAGGGCGTTACTGACACGAGATGGTCTGCTTCCCAATCGGGTACATGTGCTAAGCTGATCATGTGCCGGTTACGTAACCGAGTACACTGTAAGCCTTGGGCTAACGTCATTGTAGAGACCTTGATTGATACGCAGACGCTGCGCTCAGCGCAGGTCTGGAATGTTGGAACAGCGCTAAGCTGATCGTGCGATGTTTGCGTAATAGGAGCGCTTTGGGTAGCAGTCAGACGCTGCGCTCGGCGCAGGTCTATGCTGGATATGTTGGAACAGCGCTAAGCTGATCGTGCGTCACTTGCGTGATAGGAGCGCTTGGGTATCAGTCAGACGCTGCGCTCGGCGCAGGTCTATGCTGGATATGTTGGAACAGCGCTAAGCTGATCGTGCGCCGCTTGCGTAATAGAAGTGCTTGGGTTGTAGTCAAGTGCTGCGCTCGGCGCAGATAAATCAGACACAAAGCTCAAAAGTATTGACTGGGTCAAGGCTTGCGTCTAATCTACCCCCATCATAGCATCTCGATACGCTGGTGCTGGTGCTGTCGCCGACGTCACAGATTATCATACATGTATCTGGAAGTGTCCGGCGGCTGAAAAAATAGGAGCAGTTACGATACTCACAAAATCCTCCGGTATTGATTTCGGTGGATGGTGTACTTCTGCAATCACAGGCGTCATAATACCTGCCGATAATAACGGTTGGGTGGTAATGACAGAACCATATGTCATTCGCTATTCTGCGATAGTGACATTCCTCTCGTCTCACGACGGAATAACTGCAAAATGATTGTGAGTAATCTGCTTTTATATAGTAAACTCGTTGGATTAGAGATTTACATAAAAATTACATTTTGAATTTTGGCGAGCACATCTACGTGCATGCCTATGACCATGGATAAAGAGCTTTGGGCGATTATTCCACGACAATATGTACACCGAGCAAACATAATTATGTTACGCAATTAAACCATTGAAGAAATGGTACTGGAAGAATGCCGTAGAATTGAACAGTAATCTATCGGCAAAAATACGAATTGCAAGGGTATACAATATTTTTATATACGCAATTCAATGTAAACTAAGGCTATTTACATTTAGAGATTGGAAAGCACATCCGCGCGCAAACCAACCAATCGTGGATGATAATCTTGTAAGGTTTTTTCCACGACAATTAGTAAAATGCTCAAAGGTATGTTACGCAATGAAACCCTTGTTGATGAGATAATACTGGAAGAGTGCCGAAGAATTTGAACACTAATCTATAGGCAAATTTATGAGTTGCAAGGATATATAATATTTTTGTATGCGCAACCCAATGTAAACCAAGGGTATTTATATTTTCATTTAGGGTTTGGAGAGCACATTTGCGCGCAAACCAACCAATGTGGATGATAATCTTTGTAAGATTTTTCCCACGACAATTAATACCACGCTCAATCATAAGTTACACAATTACATATATATATGTATAATGTATAATCAATATGTATATATATATGGATAATCAATGTCTGTACATATAAAGTAGGGAAAGGGCCACCTAAGTTGGATAACTTTTGCCCAATCCCGTTGACCATATATGTCAATAAAATATGTTTAAAACAAACACAATTACGCCATTGTTGATGAGGCGGTACTGGAAGAATGCCATAGAATTGAACAATAATCTATCGGCAAAAACTACGAGTTGCAAGAGTATACAATAGTTCATATACGCAACTCAATGTAAAACCAAAAATACCAACAAAAAACTATTTAATCGCATAAACATAGGTACGCAATAAAAGAATTGTTGATGAAGCGGGACTGGAAGAAAGCCGTAGATTTGATATTAATCTATCGGCAACCATATTTTTAATGAGTTGAAAAAGTATACAATAATTTTAGTATACACAACTCACTGTTACGCCAAAGCTAGTAATATTTAAGAACATAAGAATATGTTATACATACGTAGCTTAGAATTGTAAACAATAAGACTACCATGGCAGGCAAACGATTGTAACACAATTCAAAATGGCGGCGAACAACAATATTTTGGCGGGAAAAAAGACAAGAGTCTTTTCACGCCTAATTAATTCACATAAAACTACACAACATGGTGAAAGTAATATGAAAAGAATACATCACCCATCGCAGATCAATTTTTAAGATTGTAGACAAACTGAAGGTCTAAAATTAATCCAAAAGGAGAGCTCCGCTTGGACACGTCCTAGCTGTGCTGCGACAAGCAGTGATGTGAAGATGACCTTAGGTGTCATCAAGGTCACAGGACAGCGACGGAAGGCCACTGATTGGGACTTGAGAACAACAACTTTATTTCTTCACCCAGGACCTTCGCAGCGCTGTCCTTCTAGTTGTCGTAAGTAAGCAGTGAATGCATTAAGGAGTAATGCAGGATAAGTAAAAAATTCACTGATTTCATATTGTTTGTTTGGGTTAATGGTTAAATGAGAAGTTTGTGAAGTTATTATTGTTGACAAATTTACTTATAAGAATTGACTTCAATATGTTTTTGCGTTATGGAGTTACAAACATGCCCACTTGGCCCCGTTGCACAAAGCTATCTTAGCTAAGGAGATTGTAACTCCCATACTTTTACATAGGCTTATGATAGTCACAGCGCTAAGATCGCTTTGTGCAAAGATGCCCTGGTTTTTATGTTTATAACTCCATAAAAACAAACAATTATTCAAATAAATTCTTAAGTAAATTACATTAACCTGATTATGTAAAACATATTATGCATGTGTGTGTCTGTTTGGGATGTATTCATCGACAATCTGTGTATGTGAATGTTGGTGTGCGTGCGTCATGCATGCATGCGTGCATATGCATCTATGTCTCGGGATAACAGTAAAACCGCCATAATGCGTGCTGTGCATGCATTGTTGAATGCGACACTGAGCAACATTGCAGCTGTATGTTGATAGACCCCCACAATCCAGTGATTGATATTATGAGCAACAAGCCATGTCATGAGGGTACAATGACATGCAATCAACCAAGTCACACAGTCTGACCACCCAATCCAATAAGTTCTCTCTTACAACCAGCATGAGCTGCTTGAACCTATTCTTAATCGGAATCACCACAGGAGAACCTGAGGCAAGGAGAATCTGGGATTCATCGTCAGTACGCAACTGTTGGTTTCACCATAGAAACCATCTAGTTTTTTTATACCTCAGAGCAGAGATGCCAACCCTTTTTGAAGCTGTGGAGTAATCAGTGGGGTAAAAAAGCGTAATTTCATGTGAGTAATGCTAAGAATACCATGCTGTGATGCTGGTTTTTGCTTCGACATTTTCATTGGGCCTATACCTACATGAAGCATGGCTATACATGCATTGACACTTGTAGTATAGCGGCACACACAAGACCTGCTATTTTAAAAAGGGTTGACAAAGCTCAAAATAAGCAGCAAAAAGACTCTGCTTGCATCTGTATTGTTAAATATGACATAACCTGAATACCAATCCAAACATCCGAACAAAACGGTGATCAACATCGAAAAGGTACTCGAAAATAGAAGTTCAATAACGGTATGCAACAACCCCATCATCAACATACTTCAGGGCCACATTTCAAACAAACATGTTGTGTTTTGAATAACTTTGGTAACAATAGATCATAAATCACATCCAAAAGCATTTAATTCAAGCTGTTGTGTGGGGCCAAGCTCCCCAGACCTGTTATTTTAGCGAGGCGACAAAAAATGACTTCGAAAACATTGCATTCATGCCGAAACACGTGGTCAAAGCTCCACACATTCATACGATTGATCATGTGACAATATTAACTGTTTTGCAGAAAGACAATGTGGTTTTTCGAGTTCCTAAGAAAGATTGGCAATTAGCTCCAAGTAGAATGGTTCCCGTGATCAGTGCATTAAAAATGTGCTCTCCATGATATTTTATACATGTAAATAATTTGTGAATAAAATGTCAAAAATCGTAATTTGAGGGGGATAAACATAAAAGCATAGTTTTAGGCTCAAAAGCATAATTATTACGCCAAAAGCGTAATGGCATCTCTGCTCAGTGGAAACACTGCACTACAACATGAAGAGTATACACTACCTGTTGAGCAATATCTTGTACAAACACAGCTTCATCACTCGGGGGAATGACCTCACTGTTGCCATGGTGACTCTCACGTTCAACAGGAGGTTCTTCTTTTAATTTCACCCTTGGCAGATCTTGACAAAATAATGACATGGTTCAGTGAAGGAAATGATGGGCATTTTTAGGATAAATTCAATGTGCTCACACCAGAACATCAAACTACATAAACAAGGCAGGGATATGTGGAACAAACCATCCTGACCAAGCTGACTGACAAGATCAACAGCTTCTTAATCATACTAATGAATGGCCCAGAAAAGTGAAAAAGCTGTGATAAGATCTGTTGATGATTTGGAAGCAAATATTTGAACATTCAAACTACTCATACAGCATTTGTAAGCTCAAAGTGTCTGTGCCTTAACTTACAGATTGCCATCCAAACCTCATACACTGCCATGTCTTGACCAGCTTGTCGCCAAGTCAGTAGCTTCTATTTTAGTCTGCTTTGCATCTTTAGCAGTGAAAGAATCACTTTATCCTCAGACTGACATATGTTGTGGCCACAGTGAACTATGTTTTATGCCGTAAACCTTCTAGCAATATTAATAACGACATTCCATGATTACCATATCTGCATAAGCTGTAACAGAGCTCCAGATAAGCTTTTGGTGTTGTGGGTATTTTACCCATGCATTTTAAAATCATTGGGTATCAGTAATTCTATCTGGGTATTCAAATTTCTGTTACCCACTAGTTTTTACACATATGGGTATTTAAGTTAAATATTTAAAAACACTATTCATCTAGTCCCTGCAAACTGGTGTCGTGTGAGATCGAGAGCTTTATAGGACTCAAAAATACCACGATACTTCCACAAGAAAGTGTTATGGCAAATGATCATGATGTAACTGTCATCGTGTAGTTTGGCAAGGCTGACAGAATGCCTGTTTATAATTTCAAAATAAGTTGCTGATTTGCTAATCGAATACTCAGGGTTACTTCACAATATTTTGATGATGCGCACAAGTTTTATTTTCGTAGGGTATCTGTAATGTTTGTTGCGTATTTGATACGCTTGGATTTTATTTTACTGCGTATTTCTGCATTTCAGATGCGTATTTTACGCAGATACGCAGCTTATCTGGAGCTCTGCTGTAAGTAATCAAACAATTGAGTCCTGAGCACAATCCACATGTCACACAATCTGATGTACTGTAAGCCCTCCCACCCTAACTTAACCCCAAAATATTATTTTTCTGGTCCCTTCAGTTGACTTGTCGTAATCCTCTTACTGACTTTATTCAGTAGGTGTACAAATGATGAGTGAGTTCTGTTATCTTAAAACTAGTAATGTCATGCAAATTCCTTATCAAACAAAATTAAAATTTAGAAGGCTCCATTGCAAATTTGTATCATTTCAGGTCAAACCAAACTTTTAGCTCCACAATCCCAACAAGGAGTTGTATGGGAGAAAACATTCCTAATTCCCGGATGATATTTAGCTTACCAACAGACACAATGTCAAGGTCACTTTCTTCACTGTCGTCAGAGGGTGCCACCTGTTCCAGCAGCATGTCCACCTTGTCAAGGTACGGCTCATGGTCAGACAGGCTGGTCAGTGGCTGTGTGGCCGGGGTCTCGGGGGTATGTTTTTGTGACATCGACTCAGACACCGACGTATTTGGGACACCGTCTACTTGTCCTGTATTTTCTGAAAAAAGTTGTGTTTTTCTACCATCAAGAATGTTTGTTAATACTTCATGTTATCTGTGTGTATGTAAAGAGGAAGGCTGCAATTATACACTTTGTCACAAATAATAATCGACCAAAATGTATTGATATCAACTACACTTAAAATGAGTGATTATGGTTTTACGGCACTTTTAGCACTATTCCAGCAATATCACGGCGGGGGACACCAGAAATTGGCTTCACACATTGTACCCACGTCAGGTATCGAAGCCGGCTACCCGACCACCCTACACTTACAATGAACATACCATACATGCCATAAGTGGGGTGAGATGAAATAGGGTTGAACGTCGTGTCCAAGATTATTGCACTTACACATGCACGTGTGTGTGGCTGCTTGAACTTGGCAATTTACTTATTTCAATTTGGGATTTTCTTCTGACACTGCTTCAGACTTGGGGCCCAAATATTGGCCTCTGAGCAGGTCCAGATAAATTGCTGTCCTGGTAGGTAATCTCTTTCAGGAAACTGACAGAGGGTTTATCCATTTTAGTAATAATCCAGCCATATTGTGGTGCGGGACATCATAATTTTCGAAACAAAGGTACCTAGATGGTGAGGGCTGAAGGCATGAAGACGACACCAAGTCATGATCTGTTTTGTGGTCCAGAGTTGTTCCCCTTTGAAGGAACTCTCCTCCTTTAGATGGTCCAAAATGAAGGTCCTGACAGATGCAGCCCTCTGCCACTTGAAACACAAAGCAACATCACGTCATATTTGTTAAAGTTTGGATAAAACCATCAATATTTATTTTACATAAAAACAGAAAATTGTAGAATTTTCCTATTCGGAATATTCTATAAGTAATACGTTACCACTGTTATACCGAGGCTGTTGTCTCCCACAACTGCTGCTATAGCGAAATCTACCACAGAGATCTCAATTACCTCATGCAGCACGTGCGTAGCCACCTAGCTGCCATGTGACACCCTTCACTCTTGTCTCCTGCGAGAGCAAGTGCTCGGGGGACGGACGGGCGGACAGCAGCCCAGTGGTAACGTATTACTTATAGAATATTCCGAATAGGAAAATTCTACAAATTACATTAAGTAATACGTTACCACTGTTATACCGAGGCTGACTACCACAGTAGGCGGTGGGGAGCACCTACAACCCGAATCCTGACTGCTAGCGTTCCTTCCGACCAGCGGAAGTAAACACCAAGGCGGAAGCACTCGATGCGCATGCACCTAGCTAGGCGTTACCCTATAGTAATACCAAAGCACTGTCAAGCGCCCGAAGGCTCATTCGTCAATGCCAAAACGATTGGTGACTCCAAACGGCCCCACTGGATAGGTATTTCATCGCCGCAGCGGATGAGAACACTGTATCCGCGTGAGCTAAATCTTAGATCAGGTTAAACAGTCGAAAAGAGGGAAATTAATTTCCTTCAGACCGTATATCCCAGAGCAAGCCTACTTAAAGTATGCATTAGGCGCGTGACCTAATTCCAGTATTCGTAAGCATGTATCGCAAGGTTGGAATACACGACAGACAATTAAATGCATAATTGTCAAAATACAAATAAGGACAAAACACACAAAAAGCCGCCTCACCTGTGGTGTGAGTGCGCTGGTTTGCAGGACCCCCACTCCTGTACCCACGGCGTGGGAACATTGGAAACGACCCAGATTGACCACCGTGCAAGGACTGACGACTGCGGAGTTTGGAATTGCGCTGGACACACCCCCTAGATGACCGCTTGTGCCGCGATCAGCGGCCCAAGACGGTGCACCCCCTCCACGTCTTCATCAGAAACCTTTCTGAGGTAATGATTGGCAAAAACCGAGTCAGAACGCCAGTAACAACCTCGTAATATTCTGTGAACAGAGATATTCGAGTGTAGGGCAAATGTTGCCGCTAGCGCCCTGATCTCGTGCGGGTTTGACCCCGCTACCGGTAACCCCCGAGACCGGTACGCCAGATTGATGACAGAACGAAGCCACAACGCAATCGAGTTGCGAGTTATGTCAACCGTGCGATTAGGGTTACACGATATGAACAGACGGTCACGCCCTTGTCTACGTTCATTCGAAGCCTTAAGATAATACTTAAGGGCCCTAACCGGACACAGCGCTCTGTCCTCAGTATCAGCAGGATGTAAGATTTCTTTGAGGGATCTTACAGTGAATTCTCTCTCCGTTTGCCCCAACTCTCTGATTCTTGGCGACGAAGCCCATGAGCAGGCCCAGGCGGACCGCTCCTTCGTCACCCCTATCGAATCGTACCTTGGCGACATCGAGTGCATGAATTTCGGATACACGTGCCGCCGTGGCAAAGGAGAGGAGAAATGCTGTTTTCCAAGTCACATGCCGGAACGAAGCACTATGCAAGGGTTCATACGGAGCTTCCGTAAGTGATTGCAACACTAGGGAAAGATCCCAGGCCGGTGCCCGAAGGCGGCCCTTCTTAAGATCGTGCTGTTTGAAACCCTTGATAATACCCAATATCACCGGCTCTTTGGAGAGACTGGTACCCATAGCAACGGACGAGACATAGTTGGCAATGGAACCCCCGGAGAGTTTCCGGGTCTCTCGCAAGTGAGACATGAAACGAGCAATATCCTGCACAGATACCTTATCTGGCGAATGAATGTGATGTTTACAACACCACTTCGTGAAAATAACCCAACGTGCATTATACACCTTCTGGGTAGAATCACGATGCATACTAACGTATGCCCGAGACGCCCGGCGAGAAAAACCTTTACTCCTCAGACGCTCGGTGACAACATCCACGCGTGCAGATTGAACTGCCCTGCGTTTGGATGAAGCTGACAGGTGTGAGGGGGGATCAAGAGATCCGGTCTCACAGGCAGTGGGAGTGGCGACTGCGTGACCTGGGTCAGCAAGTCGGGGTACCACGATCTGTTCGGCCACATGGGCGCGATCAGTAACATTCGACAGCGAACTCCTCGAAGCCGGCTTAGAATGTGTGGTATCAACGCTGTCGGCGGGTAAGCATAAGCATCCAAGCCCGTCCAGTCTAACGCGAGAGCATCGTGATCGATGGCCCTCGGGTCCGGGACTGGTGATACAAACAACGGGAGTTGAGTGTTGAACCGTGTTGCGAACAGGTCGACCATCGGACGACCCAAACGTTCGCACAGCCACTGAAACACTACTGGGTTCAGCATCCACTCTGTGGGGCTCGGATCCCGAGGCCTAGATAGAGCGTCGGCCAGTATGTTCCGCACACCTGGGATGTGACGGGCGCGTACCTGGCATGGGACACTGTCCACCAGAGCGTAAAACTCGAACGTGAGATCGAGTAGCGAGTGACTGTGGGTTCCCCCCAGTTTGTTCACATAGGACACTACCGTCGTGTTGTCGGTCGCCAGCATGAGCACCACACCACACCACAGCCCCGAGCTCACCTCCCCCTCTAGATGGGCGCCCCAGCCCACTAGAGAGGCGTCTGTATACAGGTTCAACGTGGCCCGGTAGGGCCGCATAGAGACTCCTGATAAGACATTGTAAGGGAGCGTCCACCACTCCAGATGCGGTTGCAGCGGGCGGAGTTGGAGACGACCCCGTTCGGTGCAGTCCTGGGCTGATACAAGTAGCCCTAACAGCTGTTCCCAAAAGTGAACAGTCTGTTGCACTGCTAAGACTTTGGCAATCATCGCCTGAATTTTGTGCCACCGGTCTGGGGGGACAAAGAGGCGATGGGACACCGTGTTGAACCGACCTCCGATGAACTGCAAGTTCTGAGAAGGGGTTAACTCGCTCTTGGGGAGATTGACAATCCACCCCAATTGCTCCAAGAGCCGACGTGCGAAAACGAGATGGCGTGACAGGGTGTCCGTCATTCGATTTGCTACTAGTGAGTCGTCCAGGTACGCGAAGTACCGGACACCCCTCCGGTGGAGGAACCCCACTATGGGGGTGGTTAACCGGGTGAACAGCCAGGGAGCGGTTGAAAGACCGAATGGGAGTACAACCCACTCGTAGTGCCTGCCTTGAAAGACAAACCTGAGATACTTGTGATGATCCGAGTGAATCGGAACATGCAGATAAGCATCCTTCAGGTCGATCGAAGCTAGCCAGTCGGCCGGCATGTTCAGTGCTTTCAGGTCCGTCAAGCTCAACATTCTGAAGGTAGAACTCGTTGAACGATTTCAAGTTGTGAATCATTCTGAGTTCGGCACTGTCCTTCTTGGGAACGAGAAATATCCTGGAGTAAAACCCCGGTGTTATTTCTGGTAGAGCTAACTCCCGAACTGCCCTCTTCTCCACCAACCTGCCGATGGCATCGGCGAGGAAGGGAAGATCGGTTTCCGAATAGAAACCTGCCGACGGGGCAACGGTGAGCGGCGGATTCGCTTTGAGATCTAGCCGATAGCCGTATCGAATCGTGTTGACCACCCACGGGTCGTCGAACACATGTTCCCAATTCTCCCAGTAAGTCTGGAGTCTGGCTCCCACTCGGGAAAGAGAGGGGGGCCGGACGGGCTGCGGCAGGCGCAACTGTCCAGGGCCAAGTGACTCGGGTTCGCCTACGGGCCAACCGAAGTTGGCACTGTCGGCATACGAACCCCTCCAATGAGAGTCTCCTGGAGGGGCCCTTGCCGTCCTTAGACGACTTGGGCTTCCCCCAGTTCCCCTTCTTCCCGCGAAAGGGCTGCTGAGAACCCTTACCGGAGCCCTCAGAGCGGGGCTTCTTCCCGGAGGAAGAAGGACCCGACCCCTTAGGCCTGCCGGACGCAGCATCCTGGGGCGCGCTCCGCTTCGGAGTGGCACCCAGGCGCCTATGCAAGGACCCCACAAGATCCAGTGTGTGCCGAGAGGCCTCGGCAGACACAGCGGCCTGTTGTTCCTTCAGAACCCCAGGGATCTTGTTATTAAACAGGGTCTGAGCAGACCAAGGCTGCGAAAGGAGCACCTCCTGATTAGCAGCGTCCAACCCTGAAGCAACCAGATCAACTGGCGCCGAAGAAAATGGCACGTGCCGGAAACAAAGGCCGAAGCCCCGGCAACGTACTCCAGGGAAGCATTCAAACCGAGCAAGCAGTTGTAAATGCGCTGGTCTCGGTCCGTGGGAGAACCTTCGACCAGACTGGCCGCTGCAGCCAGGTATGTGTCTCCGTGAGACATTGCCAGCATGGAGTGTCGAGCGAGGGTGTCCAGCTGTTGCAAGGTACCTTGTGGTACCGTGGCAACCGGTGGGGCACGGACCCCCAAACGCTCCACATGGGCTTCCGCAGAAGGACCAGCCTCGGGAAAGGCAAGGTCATGTACTGGGAAAGACCCTTTTCTCCACGACGGGGGAGGTAACGGGAGACCCCGACAGGAGGCAGCCGTGAAGGCCTTCTCCAAAGAAGGCTTAATCCCGCGCAGCAAGGTTGATGCCGGGAAAGCCTTGTCGGACGTCTCGTCGTATACCTCGGAGGAACCCACGGAACCGTGGATTCCCCGCGGTATCGGCAGGGGCTTTGGCATGTCCTCGAAGAGGTCATACACCATGGCAACGCGGTCCTTAACCGATAGCAGAAGCAACGGTTCGGGGGAAGGACTGGTAACCACGGCAGCCGCCGCCGTACCGGTGGACCCCGCATCCGAACCCGCGGCCACCGAAGAGGCCGGGGACGGAACAGCCAGCGGCCTATCTTGCGATAAGGCCGCCAGCTTGGAGTCCACAAGTTTCGACAATAATGCGGCGACGGAATCCCCAGACAGCCCGAGGGCTGCAAGGGGATCCGCCGCAGCCGAGGAGGTGGTACCCACACGGGGACCCCGACCGGACGAACCGGCCACCACAGGGGTGGAGACGGACTGTACGTACAGCCGGTACCGCTCAAACTCCGCAGGCCCCAGACCTTCGCACAGGGTACACCGGGTGTCCCCGCAAGGAACCCTGCACCGCGGGCAACGATCGTGGGGATCCCGGGAGGACAAAAACTTTCTGCACACCCCACAACTCTGAGGAGCAAGGGTAGAGGGGGTGGATACTGGGGACATATCCATGTCAGACATTGATTGTTTGCTATAAACAAAGAACAAAACATGGTTACAACGCACGCACCACAACGATTCACAAACGAGCATTTTCACAAGAAAATAAACGAGCAATGTGAACGTATAACATACACATATAACTTTTATTAAAGAAATAAGTTATGTTAACCCCCAACACATACAAGAACAGGGGAAACGTAAAACACAACGTGCATACGCGAACCCCGCAAGTATATAGAAAAAAGGGCGGGAAAATTATAACCAAGCGTAGCTACCGCAACGCCCCATAAAAGCACAGTTTATTAGAGAATAAACTATAATAAATATCACCAAATCTTCAAGGAACGCTTCAGCAGGAGAAAACACGTCTTGCTAAGCAGACGAAGGAGACAAGAGTGAAGGGTGTCACATGGCAGCTAGGTGGCTACGCACGTGCTGCATGAGGTAATTGAGATCTCTGTGGTAGATTTCGCTATAGCAGCAGTTTTGGGAGACAACAGCCTCGGTATAACAGTGGTAACGTATTACTTAATGTAATAACAAATACACTGTTCACATAGACATAATCATTTGATTATAGTGACAAGATATATATTCATAATCTTACAATGTTTATCAATGTACTTTCACCACATTACAAATTATGTCCAGGCTGTTGAGACTTTCAACATTTTGTGCTCAATTCACAGATTTTATGACACTTCGACGTAATGGATTCACAAAATAAGCAAGTATACCTCTGACGCCCGCCTCTTGCCAACATTCCAACTGAGCCACTCCTCTGAGGACTGCGCACAGTAAGGGTGCAGACTGCGGTCTGCGAAAGTTCAGTAGAAAACAATCACTGAATTGTATGATCATGGCAAATATGGATTTGAAATTGCTGACATTTGAGGTGCTTATCTTGAAGTTAGACCAGTATTACAAGACTTCATTTAAACATTAAGATTTCCAAACAAGATGACACCCTTAATTATCTAGTTTATCATTCCATTCTATTATGATATATACCCTGGACCTACTTGCCATAATAGCTTCATGTTGAGGCTGGCTTAAATGTCACGATGCTATAAAACCATTTATAACTGTCCTGTGATTTGTCAAAATACATTGAGAGTTCACTTGGAGATGGGTCATTTTGAAAGTACATCTAAGCTAAACTCGTGTTCAGAAGAGGTAGTTTGAGTGGTTGTTGATTTCAAGAAATTGTGAGAGAAGTTAGTGATAAGAGAAGTGGGGCTACGGTGGAGAAAGGGTCCAGGGTACTGATCCAATTAGAATTGGAAATGCATTTCTTGGTCTTCCTCAATCCTGTGTGGAAATGTGCTTGAACCATGTTTCCAGCTTCTAAAACAAACATTGTTTGGACGTGTTTCTAGGACCTAGAGATTATGTTTGTTTGGTTTTATTTTTTGTTGTTGTTTTTTGGGGGCGCCTTTGTTTCATGGACTGGGACATCCTGCATGGGGAGAACGACATGCTCCGTCCAGTGTGTACAATGTTGTGACTGTCGTGGCCAGTGACCGCTCTACAACCTGATTCCACTCGACCTGCCTGGTTACTCAGATTATCGTTTGGCTGCGGGCTATAGTTGATCTCCAGTTCATCCTCCTCCTACTGATCATCTCATCACGAACACCGTCTTAGATCATGAAAAGGAGGAAAGCAGCTATCCTCACTTCGTGCCTGCTCATCGAGATCTCAGATACCTTATATCTTCCCGCTATACTCACTCTTACTGATGCAGAAGATGACGTCGGTAACAGTGTGGCTCTAAGTCTTCCGCCAGACTCTACAGACTAGTGACTCTCCTCCACTACAAGACGACTAGGTACTTCTGCCCACAGCCGTTCCTATCTCGGACACTCTTGTTGGCCCAAAACTGGGGCTGTTTGTTGACAACTGGATCGTCCTTGCAGATCCCTTCATGATACAGTTGATCCAGAATGGATATTCTCTCCCACTGACCTCCTCACCATCAACAATGTTCCGACCTCTAGTGAGGGAGAATCAGGCCAGCCTCGACACTAGAGGCATGTTACTTCTAAAGAACGCGATAGAATGCCTCGGCCCAGAAAAAGAGTTGGCAGAAATACACATGTGATCAGGTCGTGTAAGGTTACCATGCGCAGGATGCTGAGGTGTTTTCAGGTGAATGTTTTTTGTTTTAGAAGCTGGAAACATGGTTCAAGCATGTTTTAACATAGGATTGAAGAAGGAAGAAATGCATAGAAATACACATGTGATCAGGTAGTGTGAGGTTACTGTGCACAGGATGCTGAAGTGTTTTCAGGTGAATGTTTTTTGTTTTGGAAGCTGGAAACATGGTTCAAGCATGTTTCCACATAGGATTGAAGAAGGAAGAAATGCATAGGATCAGTTTAAAAAATTGGAGATTTAATACCCTGAATAATCATGGATGCAGATGCCTGAATGGAAGTCGGATCCCACCACTGTTGCCTAAACAATGTATTCAACATTGTAAGGAAATTCTATTGCCCTAATGCCTGGGTAACCATATATCGGAATTCAAGTGTTTTATCCTCATTCTTAACATGCTTAACTTATATACTTCTCATAACAAGTAAAAGAACACACAAGATTTGGAGTGTGTGTTTGTTGTTTAACGCCACACTCAGCAATATTTCAGCTATATGACGACAGTCTGTAAATAATTGAGTCTGGACCAGGCAATATTGGACCAGTGATTGATATCATGAACATCAATCCGCACAATTGGATACGATTTCATGCATCAACCAAGTCAGCGAGTCTGACCACCTGACCCCATTAGTTGCCTCTTACGTCAAGCATGGGTTTCTGAAGACCCATTCTAACCCGGATCTTCATGGGTGTCCCACGAATGGAAGGATGTGTTTTGCCATACCAGCTATGACAGGCTATAGTCACATGAAAAAACTTCTTTAAAGTAGAATGCCTTGGTAAACATCTATGGGAAATTCTGAGAGGAAATAATGCTTTATGATTCCCTCACCCACAACTTCACGGACAACAGGATGCCTTCGAACTGCTGCTCGTATAATCGACAACAGATCCGGATAGTCCAACAGTCTACAATTGAACACACATTATGTTACCAGGGACATGCTGGTACTAGCAGAAGCGCATTTTGCTTGAAGCTGAATCAACAATATTCCAGCTTTATCACAACAGCCTTTAAAGAATCAAGTGTAGACCAAAAAATATACGAAACTCATGATTGTCTAAAAATATCAATTAATGGCAAACAAGTTCATGTTTTATACAAATTCACAAAGTGTGAAAAGATCAATAATTTTAATGCGTGAAGAAAAAAAATAGGGTAGACACATTGCAGCATCAATGGTAATATCTAAAAAATAATCTAAAAACATTGCTGTGTGAGTGAGGCAGTGAGTTGGGTTGAATGCCGATTTGAACAGTTTTCCAGTTACACCAAGGCTTATCACCCATGCCCCCTTTCTGTAAAGTGAGTGAGTGAGTATGATTTTACGCCACTTTTTGCAATATTCCAGCAATATCACGGCAGGGGACACCAGAAATGGGCTTCACACATTGGACCCATGTCGGGAATTGAACCCGGGTCTTCGGCGTTACGAGCGAACGCTTAAACCACTAGGCTACCCGACCGCCCCCCTTTCTGTAAAGAATGTAAACACATGATGAAAGAAGCTTCCTCACCTCAAAGGCAGAATTTCTTCACTAAATCCAGCCAAATCTCGAATTTTCTTCTTCCACACATGAATTTTCTTCTCAGGGTCAAAACTTGAGCATTGTTTTTGCTTGGCTGAATGTGTAGCATCTGCTTTCTGGTGAGCTGATTGCATGCTAAACGGAGATGATCCGAAAGAGAAAGTCAGAGACTTCTGTCCCATGTGTTGTGTTGCAGGATTTGTCAAAGTTGATGCCAGAAGTGACTTCTGCGGCTGAATTGTCGGAGTTTTGGCAGTCCCTGTGGGCTGACTGGTTTGCTGTGTACATGAGGGTTGATTTGGCACAAGGAGAACCTGATTATCTGCCCCTGGTATGACCTTCAACAAAATCTGTCTGTCACCAATATTTGCTAAAACAAGGGACTGGTTTGATTTGGTATCTGAGGGAGGCGGAGGCATTTTAGAGGTTGGATTTGGCACAGTCTGGTTGGAGAGTTTGAGATTTAGTTGAGATTTGGACAATAACGAGTTCACAGCTATATTGGAGGGTTTAAGAATACCTGGCTTCACTCCTCCAGCCCCCTTCTGTTGAAGTACTGAGTTTGTATTTGGGACGAAAGAACCAGCATTAAGTAAAGACTTCAGTTTCGGTTTCCCACTGACTTCAGACCCTTGGAGGATATGAGTTGGCTTGGCAACTGATGTGGTACTGGACTCACTCTCTGCCGGAACCAGCTTTAACCCTGTTGGTGTGACCTTTAGGACCAGATTTGTGGTCTTTGTGGAAGGAGTTATTGCATTAGGTTGAGGTATAGACACAGACCCGGACGTCTTTGCAGGAGTTGAGGTAGGTGTAGCAGGTGACTTGTTCAAGGCACTGGGGTCTGGTTCGGGTGTGCCGGGTCCGTGAGTGGGGCCCAGCTTGTACGGGAGGAGCAGGAGGTTGCCCTGCTGGTCCTTGCACCTCATGTACATAACACCAGGCTGAGGAACCAGCTCGGCCGAGGTAGGAGACACCTTGGAATGATTATCTTTTCCCTTTGGACTTGTGATAAGGTCACTGTGTAAAAGACCCTTAGTTTTTAAATGAATGACTTTGGGAGTATTGTTTGTTGTAATATTGCTTTTGGGTACCATGGCAGCTTTACCATTGACCTTGAGATTGTGAGGACTATTCAAATCTTGAGCACCATTTTGAATACAATTGTCCTCATTTCCGTTTGTATTCCCCATCTCTGTCTTCACCGAGTTAGATTTGACACTATTCTCAGTATCAGTTTCCATGGAAACTTCAGTCCTCAGTCCATCACCTGTACTAAACACACTATTATCAGGCTGATTTTCAATTGTGGTATTCGCATTATCACTGCAGTTATCTCCCTTGTTATGGAGACTGCCTGAGTCCGATGACAATGGCAGAGGAATTTCGCTTTGTGGAGTCTCTCTTTCCAACTCAATCTCCACAATCTGTAACACAAGTCTCAAACTATAACACAGCTTTGAAAGGACTTCACACTCCTTACACTTATGTTGGGCTGAATGTATATCACAGCACCCTAAAGTGTCTCCATCACATATATTGTGTAGTGCATCAACACTACCATATTCAACGTAATTAGCACCCTGCTCTTATAAGCACCCATGGCGATATTTACTCATATATTACAATCCCAATTAGAACCCCTTTGGATTAATCAATGTACACAAGACTTATTTATTCATGTATAATACGCACTCGTGTGTTATATGCACCCTTAATTATTGGCAATTAAATTCTGGAAAATTATATCTGTCATATATAAACATTTCAGGCTGTCAGCATAAACCACGAAATTTACGATCTTTCAACTGTTATTTTCACCAAAATAATATTCTAATAAGAAACCCCTATTTCTAATTTTGAGAGCACCCTGGGCGCTTATTACGTTGAATACGGTAATACAGATACAACATATAAACATGTCCATGACAGTGAGATTTATCAACTCGTGTTGCTTGCTTCCCTAACACATTTGGAAATCCCTGTATATGATAAATGAAATTCCTTGTCGAAGTAGGCACAAATAATTAATCCGTCATCTCCATGGAGATGTGGCAATCAACACCATCAACAGCCTCACCCGACTAGAGAAGAGGCACAATCAAACCAGCAACTACCTCACCGTCCCCACGAGATGCAGAGATCACACGGTATCACATAGCCTTGCTTGACAACGGTATAAGGACCTATTTCGAAACGTCACCTTTACAGTATTAAAGAAGTTGTTATCCATAAGTTGTGTCTACTTTGTCATCTGTCAACTTGTAAGTAATGCCTATCAAACGAAATTCCTTGTGCTGTGCAAAAAGAGCCTGCCCTTTTGCCACCCTGTCCTAAAAGAGCCTGTCCTCATGTGTGAGTCTCACATTATGCCACTACAGATCTAGAGGTGCACATGAAGTAACCAGAATACTCACTGTTTCAGAACCAAGAGTCTGTAGACCAGTACATGTCTTGTCCAGCTGAAACAAAAAAAGAACTCATTAAGTTGACCAGTCAGTCAGAAATATTCAAGCAATCAGCATTTCTTTGTTGTTAAATATTTGTCAGCAATATTTTAGCAATTTGAAACCTTTCTGTACATAATTGATTCTGGACCAAACAATCCAGTAATCGACATCATGAGGATCCATCCACCTCATCTAATGAGCATTGTGTGAAACAATTAAAGTATTGTTTGCATCAACATACTTGATTTTCTCTCAATTCACGATATCAGTATGCTTCTATTTTCCAATGGTTGGCATTATCTCCTGGTCTTAAAATGCCTGTTCAAGGAATCTTGTGTGTAAACAAATACAATCAACACTTCAGAATCCAGACTAGGGCAGTTAGCTTCCTGTGTGACATGAGGGGCAACGTTACCTTCAGATTGTGGATGACATGAGGGGCAACGTTACCTTCAGGTTGTGGATGACATGAGGGGCAACGTTACCTTCAGGTTGTGGATGATATGAGGGGCAACGTTACCTTCAGGTTGTGGATGATATGAGCGGCAATGTTACCTTCAGGTTGTGGATGATATGAGGGGCAAGGTTACCTTCAGGTTGTGGATGACATGAGGGGCAACGTTACCTTCAGGTTGTGGATGATATGAGCGGCAACGTTACCTTCAGGTTGTGGATGATATGAGGGGCAACGTTACCTTCAGGTTGTGGATGATATGAGCGGCAACGTTACCTTCAGGTTGTGGATGACATGAGGGGCAACGTTACCTTCAGATTGTGGATGACATGAGGGGCAACGTTACCTTCAGGTTGTGGATGACATGAGGGGCAACGTTACCTTCAGGTTGTGGATGATATGAGGGGCAATGTTACCTTCAGGTTGTGGATGACATGAGGGGCAACGTTACCTTCAGGTTGTGGATGACATGAGGGGCAACGTTACAGATTGTGGATGACATGAGGGGCAACGTTATCTTCAGGTTGTGGATGACATGAGGGGCAACGTTACCTTCAGGTTGTGGATGACATGAGGGGCAACGTTACAGATTGTGGATGACATGAGGGGCAACGTTATCTTCAGGTTGTGGATGACATGAGGGGCAACGTTACCTTCAGGTTGTGGATGACATGAGCGGCAACGTTACCTTCAGGTTGTGGATGACATGAGCGGCAACGTTACCTTCAGGTTGTGGATGACATGAGCGGCAACGTTACCTTCAGGTTGTGGATGACATGAGGGCAACGTTATCTTCAGGTTGTGGATGACATGAGGGGCAACGTTACTTTCAGGTTGTGGATGACATGAGGGGCAACGTTACCTTCAGGTTGTGGATGATATGAGGGGCAACGTTACCTTCAGGTTGTGGATGATATGAGGGGCAACGTTACCTTCAGGTTGTGGATGACATCAACCCGCTTGTTGCGAGTGTCGTGGAAGTGAAGCTGGACACGGACAGGGAACTCCCCCCAGCCCCGGCGAGTCAAGTGGTATGGGGGCTGTCTGTAAGGAGAGTTCAACACATGTACCACAGAGGATTGCTGTCACCTTGTCATGTTTACATATCACTGCTGTTCATTCCACTCAGTTTGTGACATCAATGGGGTTGTCAGAAACAATGACTAGTGTCTCCTTCAGCAATACTGCAGTACAAGTCATTTTTCAAAGCTTAAGAATCTAAACCATTTTAGTCACTGATGCTTATAATGATGTGATCGCGTGCCATTAGGGGGAAGAGGCATGTTTCAGGTTCTGTGTTTTCTCCTTCAGCAATACTGCAGTACAAGTCATTTTTCATAGCTTAAGAATCTAAACCATTTTAGTCACTTGTCCTAATAATGATGTGATCAATGACATGTTTTCAATTTAACAGACAAGACCCGCTATATTTCACCCCACAAAAGAATTCACTCCTTCAAGGTTCAGACACATATGAAACACGAAAATTCAAGGACTTTTCAAGGATTTCAACTGTCACTTGAAGGCATTTTGGCCGAGTTATTAGCCACAGTCTGATAATATTTTTTCATTAAATCCAGCATATCATATGACCTAAAATATGAACACCACAAATTTTCCTGAGAATATAGTTTCACAACCCACTAATCAAATATTTTTAATCTGTCATGAATTTTAATCATTTTGTACAAATTCAAGTCTGTTCAAGCTATTTTGGTGATTTTCAAGGCTTTTCAAGGTTTACATTAAACAAGGTCTTTTCAAACAGGACCTAAAACTTCACGGCCTTTTCAAGCCTGCATGAACCTTGTCTTTACATTTGATGATGACTAGATAGAAAGAATCTTTATGAGACTTTGGGAGAAGAGGCATGTTTCAGGTTCTGTGTTTTCGATCAAAGTGAAGAAAGAAATTGCAATGTGTTGTATCAGGATAAAAAAATAATTCAATTCTAGTAAAATCATAGATATTTTTTTATATTTGTATACATATTCTGCATTACTCCTTAATGCACATTACTGCTTTTTCTTGACAGAAAGAAAGAGCTGTGTAAAGTCTTGCTGAAGAAGAAGTTGTTTCAACTAGTTGAGAGGCGACCCTATCACACAGCTCCAACGTGACACGGAAGTGACGATGTCATGGATCAGCACATTCTATTTCCAACAGTATTTTAGTGCTACTATCAACGTTTCATAAATTTTATTTAGAATTTGTTTTGTGTGAAATGTGTGCTTGTGTCAGGTAAAGAGACTCACGTTATTTCCACCAGATCATTTGGCTTGTAGCTGGGATGCAGGAAGAACCACACTTTCTTCACAAAGGTGTCAATGTTTGGCTTGTCCTTCGGTCCACGTACATACACCATCCACTTGTGTGTTGACTGGTCGTTGACTTCCCGGTGCTCCAGCGGGATGAATCTGAACACATGACGCACATCACCATCTAGTGGACGTATATCACGGACATCTTACCACTACCACAGCTCAGTGTTTGAAATCATTTTAAAACCTAACAAGACAGTGGGGCAGGTGACCCATAAATGCTGCCTGCCTTTCTTCAAAGTTACCTTCCCACATTCAGACATTATGAATAACAATCTCATTAAAATCAGAACTTAGGAGTTCTCGCTATCGCTAAACAAAGATCTGAAGACATCCCATTAGGGGTCATGTCAGAACGACCTTTCATCCGACCAATGAGAGCGTCGCTTACCAGATCATGAAAGTGACAGTCGGAATGTGATTTCTAATCATACAACCTCGAAAAATTTTAACGCGGGGTATTCCGAACATTCGTGCAAGGTCGGTCTGACGTGAACCGTAATGGGATGTCCTCAGATCTTTGTTTAGCGGTAGCGAGAACTAAGGTCTGATTTTAATGAGATTGTTATGAATAATGTATTTTTTAAAGTAAAAATATCATTTATACTTATCCTGACTCATGAGTATAAGTATGAGTCAGGATAAGATAAAATTTGAAAAATTGCAACAACAAAATAAGAGACAAATCATGTCTTGATTCACTTGAAAAATAATGCAGACAATCACTTGAGAATCTAGAAGAAGTTATAATACAACTGAATACGTAAGTAGTCTTAAAATTGTCTGCCAAACAGTCAAGCAGGTTGAGGTAAGTTTCATGCAGCCGTCACATGCTACTTGTCAATAAACTACCATCAACGGACGTTAACTTGCCCTCAACAAATCTTTGCAGTAAACAAAAAACCCACAAATTTCTAAGGGCATGGGTACGACTACACACAAAGGATGCCAATCACATTCAAGGTAGCGTTCAAACCCACTAACATCCTGGCCGAGTATTAGCAGGCTGAACCATTTTAGTAGCATATAGCAAAGGTCTTACTTTGAGATATTTCCGACAATGATTTTCTTCTTGATCTTGAAGCGTGCGCCCCTGGTATCCACAATCTTGTCAGGGGAGAGCAGAACAGATGGGGGGACAGGCTGCACTTGCTGCAACAAAACACTGGACTTAACACAGAGAGCTAGCAAATACCTACAACTGACATAATGCATTGGTCATAAATTAAGCTCACTATCAAATTATATGTCATCCAATATATATGACACAACATTTGCTTTGGACCAAGACAGACATCTTTAGTCAAAGGCTTGTTCCTGAGCATATGTTGAGTAGTACACAAAATGCATAAAAAACAAATAGTCACATAACTAATTATGTAATGTGTATCAAACTACTAGATACTGTCTTCACAACTGAATACATACCAACCTTCTGAGTGTGTGTAAGGCTATTAGTCTTTGCTTAGCTTTGGTAGCTTTATAACGGCAGAATGTAACTTATGCAATTTTGTTTGTTTGTTTGTTTATTTGTTGTTTAACGCCGCACTCAGCAATATTCCAGCTATATGACACCAGTATGTAAGTAATTGAGTCTTAAACAGACAATCCAGTGATTGACATCATGAGCATCAATCTACGCAATTGGCGTAGCATCAACCAAGTCAGCGAGCCTGACCACCCGATCCCGATAGTCACCTCTTACAACAAGCATGATCTTCATGGGTCTACAACAGTATGCAATATTCATCCTTTGATCATAGAACAGTGTAGAACAATGTTGAACAATCACCCGAACACAACCTCCAACCACTTCGCTCCCAGCATGCTCCTGTGCTTATCTTTCCCTGCAATTGCCCTCAGACAGGTGACAAATCGATCCAAAACTTCAAGGGGATGGATGGGCGGGCAGTCATGACCTGTTGTGTCAGGATACAGGGGAATACTCTTATTCCCTTCATTTTCTAACTTATCCCTCCGCAACAGGACGGCAAGTTGGATCAACTGCATAGTCCATTTGCAATATGGTGGTTGGGCCAGTGCACGGATTAGACTTGACTGCCACTTTGTCTTCAACCCATGGGTGTGTTCAACTTCACTAGTCCTGTAAGATATCACCACCATGCCTGATTACAGGTAAGGCTGCTTCTGAAATAATGGAGGTACTCAACTTATCGTGAACGATACACAGTACCCTCAGAACTAAGTTAAGGCAACCATTCCGTAGAAAGAAGGACAATACATGCAGGAGATCCCTGAGGTTGAAGTTGGTGAAGGTAGCGTCGGATTGCCAAAAATAACTTCGGACGATGTCTGTAAAGTAGCTGTTGGTGCAGCGTGTCATTGTGTACGCCATCCTTGACAGTCTGAAGGTAGAGAAGTTTACATTGACGTCGAAAATGACAAGTGACGTCAACATAACGACGTAGCGCACATACTGGGCAAAGAGAGATGTCCCTCGTGTCAATGGACTGGACAATGCTAGTTAGCAGGGCTATAGTGAAAGTACTAGCCAGGCAATTGGTTCTTGGTGATAATGCCAAGATGTACCTCTGGTCGGGGTCCATGTCCAAACTTGATCTGAGTGACGTCCAGACCGTGCAGTTCACTGACACATGCCACGAAGGCCAAAGAATGTAGAAAGGCAGTTTTCTGAGTAAGTGGGTACCAATGTAGGGAGAAATGATCCAGACCAAGATCCCAGGCTGGGGAAGTGCAAAAGAAAATCTACATGACATAGTTGTAACCATTTTCCTTAATAAAAATGTTACCACACAAAAAACTTAGTTTTTGTATGATATACGACCACCTTTACAGTGCCTCACCCTCCAAGGCGCCCTGCGCCAAGGGGAGTAACCCAAATCACTTTCCATATGTCTAATGCTGATGGAATGTGGGGAGGTGGGTGGCCGTGCCCCAAGGAGGATTTAATCAGAGAATTCATAATACAGGTTTGTAAAATTCTCTTTCAGATTAAATCCTCCTTGGGGCACTTATTGCATCAAGATAGACTCCTAAAGATAATCTAGGAAGTGGCATCCATCAGCAACAAGCGTAAATAAATACATCGTATTCTGATTATTCAATGAATAAAAAAGAGTTCAATAAATGGAACCAAGCTTATCGTGAGGCACCACCGTAGAGAGGCGCGGGCTAGAGACAGGGCGTGGTCGACCATATACTATGAAATAGCCATTATTTGTGGCTTATCATATTCGAGAACTCGAACCCCCCCCCCCTCTTTGTTTGAACAAATGAGATAGGGACGAAGATCCCGCAAGACTTAACCTGTGCAAAACTAGGTCAGAGGTTCCCCGAGGATCGAAGGAGTGCGTGTACAGATACGAGTATTATCGAGTAGTAAGGTCTGATATTTATCGACCTCAGAAGATAAAATCCGGACCATTACTGAGCAGTATAACCGGAGGACGGTCTAAAATCTCGAAGGCTCAATCGGCTAGAGATGTAGAACTTTGCCCAGTTCGGAGAACTGACTGACCAAACCAAGCATGCTCGCTTGAGTGTTTGTCGGGTTGGTAATGTTTGATGAACGTGCTCGGCTGGCTCCAATTAGCCGCGGAGCAGATCTCCTCAATGGGCAGAGCTGCGGCGTAAGCTTGTGATGTAGCCACTGCTCTAACCGAATGAGCCTTCAACCTGGTAGGGGGGTCCCTGCCTTGAAGCGTATACGGTGTACAAATGGTTGAAACTATCCACCTCGAGATAGATTGTTTGCTCGCAGGTGAGCCAGCCTTCCTACCGCCGTCCTTACGGATACCCTTAGTTCCGACGAGGAAGGCTGTGAAAGAGCAGGTAGCTCAATAGGAGCCGTCACGTGGAAGGCGTGTGCAACCTTAGGACGGAAAGAGTCCGGCAGCCGAATACTGACTGTCCCAGTGGAAGACAGTTAGTTCAGGATCGGCTGACATTGCATGAATGTCGCCTACCCATCTGCCTACGTTACCGCCACAGCTGAAGAGAGAGAGACGACAGATCCCGAAAGGAAGGACCGGACAGCCAATCAAGTCCCAAGTCGGATCCTGTCCACACCTGCTAAAAAGCGCTGCACTAATGGGTGTGCACCCATAAGTGCCCTGTCGACAGGGACGTGAAAAGCTGCAATAGCTGTAGAGTACCCCCAGACTGTCGATGCGGCCACGCGACTGGAGGAACTCAAGCATGGCTACGAGATCTGCAGAAAAGGGATCTGCAATCGCTCTATCGACACACCAGCGCGCATAGCAGGCCCATCTATTCTCGTACTGAACGTTTGTCGAATCCCTCCGCGAAGCCAGTATTGTGTCTGCAACTCGTGCAGGAATACTGCTCTTCTGGAGGTGATTCCTGACAGTGGCCAAGCCACCCATTGAATCCTGGGATTCGGGTGGAGGGATAGGAGGTCCAGTCGTAAAGGTAATAGAACTGGAGGCTGAGCCAGAAACCTGAGTATTACTGGAAACCAACTCTGCGCCGACCAAAGAGGTGCCAGGAGCACAAGTAGTCACGCAGGCTGAGTGGCTAGCTGAGATAGCACCTTGGAAATCAGAGGGACTGGCGGGAATGCCCACAGAACTCTGTCCGTCCAATCTAGCTGGAAGGCGTCCAGTGCCACCGACCTCGGGAGCAGAACATTGGTTTCTGGTGATTCACCCTCGACGCAAACAGATCCACCTGGAACAACCCATATAATCGGGAGATAATCCTGAATATCCCCGGGTCGTGCCTCCACTCGTGAGGAGCGAGGATCTGGCGAGACAGAGCGTCCGCACGGACGTTGTCCACCCCCGGGAGATAAACAGGTATCACCCTGATATCGTGAGTGTCGCACCATAGGAGGAACTGCCACGTCTCTTGGAGAAGCGACGGAGACACCGTTCCCCCCTGCTTCCGGATGTAAGTCATCGCCGTTTGGTTGTCCATCTCTAGACGAACCACTTGGCCACGATGCAGATCCAGGAAGCGTTGGAACACCAACCTGACCGCTCTCAGTTCTAGCACATTATGTGCAGTTTGATCTCCTGCTGGGACCATAGTCCCGAGGCAGTGTGATTGTTCAGAACACCTCCTCAGCCGGAGAGTGACGCGTCTGTTTGAACTGTGAGAGACGGAATGGGAGTGTCGAGGGGGAGCCCCCGGGACAGATTCCCGACCTCGGTCCACCACTGAAGGTGTGTAATGAGCCACTGCAGAGTCTCGAGAACAGTCTCGAGATCTTCCGAGTTCACCTAAAGTCGACGGAGCGCTTGTTGAATGGGTCTCATTCTCAAGCGCGCCCGCCAAACCACATCCACTGTCGCCGCCATGTTGCCCAATAACTGGAGCCATGTACCAGCAGTGTGTCTTGTGGACAGAAGGAACTGGGAAGTAACACTTCTGACCTTGACTATGCGATCTTGTGATAGAGATACAAGTCCGCTCACTGTGTTGAAGTTCACCCCTAGGAAGACAAGATTCTGAGTAGGGCTCAGATCTGACTTCTTGAGATTGACTATCCATCCTAGAGTGATCAGAATGTCTATCACTTCTTGTGTAGCTATCTGACTCAGGGATTGCAATAGAGCTCTTAGTAACCAGTTGTCGAGGTACGGATGGCAGAACCGACCTTTCGACCTGGCCAGTTGGGCAGGAATCAACATCAGCTTGGTGAACACCCTCGGGGCCGTTGAGATTCCGAATGGTAGAACCCTGAACTGATAACACCTCCCGTCGAAAGAAAACCTCAGGTATTTCTTGAACTCGGGATGTATGGGTACGTGGAGATAGATGTCTTTTAGGTCTATTGACGTTAGCCATTCTCCTGTCTCGACAGCTGAGATCACTGAGCGCAGTGTCTCCATCCTGAAAGATGGTACCTCTATAAGTTTGTTCAGCCTTCTCAGATTGAGAATAGGTCTGAACCCTCCGGTTTTTTTGGTGACTAGGAAATAGGTCGAGCAGAAGCCATCATTTTCCTGTCCCTTGGGAACCGGTTTGATCGCAGCTTTCATAAGAAGTGCGTCTACCTCGGTACGGAGGAACCCCGCCTTCTCTCGGGTAGCAGGCACCGGAGTGTGCTTTATCCCGGAGAAGGGGGGCGGATGGTGTTTCCACCGAGGCAAATGGACATCCCTGATAGTGGACAGGGTCCAGGGATTGGATGTAACTATCTCCCATTCCTTGAGGAATAGAGCCAATAGGCTGCCTACGGGGACATCCGGTTTGAGGCAGTGGATCCCGGCTGTCTGCAGTTCGAGAACTGGTGACTGTGGGTCCAACCGCCTTGCCCCGGCCCTTGCCTCTCCCTGCGCCTTTACCTGAAGGAAGCGGCTGCTTCACAGCAGGTGCAGACTTCTGACCCGGCGTGTCAGCATGGGAAGAGTCAAGGGGAGAGGTCCGCTTAAGCAGCTTAGCGCTATGTACCTCCAACAAGGCCTTAGAGTCCTTGATTGAAGCGTACAACTGAGCGGCCTCTTGGACCACCTGCTGAGCCCCAGGGAAGAGGGTGGCACCCATCTTATACGGCAAAGCTAGGAGGTCCAGGCGTGTGGATGCCGAGTACTTAGACACCGACATCAACAGCCTGCGCATGCCCATGACAACGCACATCATCTGCGAGACACAGCTACGAATAGCGTCCAAACTCCGACGAGTCAGCCGGCCCCTCCCCCACCAGCTCCCTCTGTACTGCAGACAGATAGGCGGAGTGTACGGAGACGTGAAGCTGTTGGCATGCATTACGGTATTGCTCCTCGAAGCAAACGTATGCAGCCTTCAGCTCCACACCCCACATGGGAAAGGGGGGCAACCGCCAGCCCTGCTTGGCCTTAGCCGAACTTCCTGCGGGAACCCGAAAGCAGAGGATCGATGACCTTGTGCACCAAGGAGAACAAAATGCAGAGCCGCACCTGGGGCGCCTTGCTAGGAGCAAAGGCGTCCCCCGGAAGGCGGAACTCAGTCAGATCCGACGCGGGCATAGGCGCAGCCACCTGAGGCAGTACCTGGACGATCTTGTCCCGTACATGCCTCAATGAGGATACAAAGGAGAATGTCCCCGAAGCCTCAGAGTCATCCCCTCCCTCCGCCATCCACTCCTCTCTCGATTCCGAGCCGACTGTAATCGACTCATCCTTGAGAGGTAGCGGACAAGACAGGAAGAGGACTGCTGCCCCCGGCCTGAAGCCGAATCCGGGTCCCGAGGTGCCGGGGGTTCAAGGGAACCCTACTGGCTCTGGGCCACAGATCCACTAGTGGAAGCCTCGGCCTCAGAGAAGGCGTCTGGCTCCGCTAGGGAAAAAGGTGTGGAGGAAGTGAACGGGCCAGCGCCCACCACCCCTCTGCTGGGAAGCGACCTCGAACCGGAGCCGAAGCCCGGTCTCGGATCGTCCCCGAGGCCAAGTGGCCTACCTCGGCCGACCAGTCCACAGGGCCTCGAGGCTGCATCCGGCGCCAACAACGGGGAAGGCCCAGCCCGCAGCTCCTCTCGGAGTTAGGACTTAACCTCCTCCTTCATCGATGCCATCTGCGACTTAAGTAAAGCAGAAATGTCGGGGAACCTCGGGGACCCTAGAGCCCTCTCCCCCGGCCCTTGGAGCGGGGGCGGAGGAGACTGTAGCAGAGAAACTGTAGAAGGACATTGGGTCTGACAGATAGTGAGAGAAATCAGCGTGTCCTGCAAATGGACCACACATCTACAGCCAACGACTTTGAGCACGGATATGGTTGACGAGTGTGCGGATTTCTGAGCAGACCATGAAACATGGGGACTTCTGAGGCTGGCACTGGCTTATAAGGCACTACTAAAAGAAGCTGGATGTCCACAGTTGATGCCATTTTCTGCAGAACTCGGAGGTGGAAAAGCAGACGCATGTAGGCCATTCACCTTGATGGCTAGGACGTTGTGATCCCTTGCCACATAGTCCGATATTTGTGATACAAACATCTGAAGCTGATGGTTGTAGCATGTGGTGAAAAAGTCGGTGCTTGGGTGGCCTAAGTACTGGCAAATCATCCGGAAAGTGTCCGGGTACAGCTGCAACTCCTTGGGAGTTGACTGACTTGGACGAGAGAGAGCGTCGGCGAGAATGTTGGAGACGTTCTCCTATGGGATGTTGTCTAAGAGACTGCAGAATGCAAACATGAGATCCAAGAGACTCTGGGAGTGAGTGGATCCCAGTCAGTTGGTGTCATGGGGAGCTGATTGAACACACACAGATTGTGAATCATGTGCAGCTTCAATAAATTTTTCTTCAGAACCAGGAAGAGGCAGCGGTAAAATCCTGGTGTAACAGTGCCTGGTTACATCTGGTCTGTCCAGAAGAAGCCGGATGTTGTCTGGTAACAGCTCCAAATGTTCATCTCTGTACGATGGCACTAATGAGGGTGAGCAGTAACTGTAGCAGAGAGTCTGAATGACCCAGTGGTCTACGAAGAGTTGACCCCAGTTATGCCTGAACCGCTGTAGGGGTCCGTCAACAGGATAATCATGAGGGGTGACGACTGTCGATAGAAGATCCCATTTGACCGGCCAGGAAGGAATGCCACTGCTGGCCTCCGATGTGCCATCCTCCACCGCGTACCCAGCGTCCGAGGAGGAGGGCCGAGTGCTCCCTCTTGCCAATCTGGTCTTAGAAGCCTGAAAAGATTTGTCTTGTGTCAAAGGTGCTTTGAGGTGCAACAAGGTGCTTAGCTTTGGGCAGATAAGGGTGTCCTCTGTGTATACTGGGTACCTGGTTGGGTTAAGCACATCTGTAAGACCTGAACTGTAGCCTCGGCCTGAGCGGTGGTCAGAGACTTCTCATAACCATGAACCTGATTGTTACAGAGTTTCTCAACCATACCACAAGAAACTGATTGAGAAATTGTTGATTGATTACCCAGCAATTATTAATATTACAAGGACACCATGACATACAATCACCATATTACACATTGTTTCCACCCTATACCTATATTACCTTGTTTTACATATGATAAGGGATGGAAATTAACCAAGAAAGTCTACCAGCATGAATAGTGATAACATACAGCAATACCCCCCAAGTGTTTGAAATCCTACTAGCCCTTAGGATAAATTAACATTTAACAAGACTGGTCCATGATTTCCATCCCTGACGATCTGAACAGACCACGTTGACTTGCACCTGCACACACATCCAAACAGCGCTCACCTTGTCAGATGAGGAGGCGTCAGCTCCTGCAGGCGCTTCCTCATTCCCCATCAGTTGATCCTGCGGCCTGACATCTGTTCCTGTTTCCCGCTCCCCATCATGGGCGGCGCTGCTGGTGACTGTGGCAGGGGCCTTCCCAAGCCTGGCCTTGACAGTGGGATGGATAGACGGGGGCTGCGACTTGTCCTGTACAACACGAGAAACAGGGGAGGTTACCGTGACATCAGACAGTGTGATGCCTGGGTTAATATGTTGCATCTTCCTGAGGCAAGGGAGATAACTGACTGTCATGTCAAAGTCCAGTTTCAATCCTTGACAAAGTAGGTTGGAATTTCGTGACTCGATAGTAGTGCCACCAGTGGCCATTTTGAGATATGTTCCTTCTATGTCCCTCCTATTGACTTATCAGATTCCACCTTTCATATCAGTTGCATTTGCTTTAAACAAAATGGCAGAGCCCAAGTCAAGAAGATCTGATTGATAATGTGTTTGAGCAAAATTATTTTTTAAAGCTGGAAACTTTGTTCAAGGGCGTTTCCGCACTAAGATCGAAAGTAGGAGTAATGCATAGTGTGAGATAATATAAGTTTAATAATTAATACTTCAGTTAAATGTAGCGGCCATAACATTTCCGATTCCCGTGATGGGATTCGAACCACGGACCTTCTGATCAGAGGTCGGACACCTTGTCCACATGACCAAAGAGGTTAACCCGATCAGCAAGCTGACAAGGTAAGGATGTCATCTGTGGGATGACTCCACGCCCTGCTACATACTCCCCTGTCAACAGAAGGCACGTCCCGGGCCGCATAGTAGGGAGACTTAGGCTTATTTTGCTCAAATTTAATATGTGAACGTGCTCAGCCCCACGACCCCGAGTCAAAAAGATCTGATTGAAAAGACCGAAGAGGTTAACCCTGTCAGCAAGCTGACAAGGTAACGATGTCATCTGTGGGATGACTCCACGCACTGCTACATAAACAATCAAAACCTGTTAACCTTTCAACCACATGAATGTAGCCTTCATCATGTTCATTGGTAGGTTACAAAGTTACTTATCGTACTTTCATCGTCTGACCTGCTCCCTAAGTAGGTCATTGCACTCACTTTCCCCCATCACTGTAATCATGATCTACCCTATCTCCAGCTACCTTGGATCCTGGGATTGAGGAGGAATAGTGACAGGCCACAATGCATGCCCGCAGTCGGTCCACAACAAGGCGGGACTGGTTCAAACGCTGAAACAGAGAAACATTCCAAATATTGGGAAGGTTGTATTGGAAAAGGGATCTATGTTGTGAAACTATACAGGTCATATGATCACTTATAAACATATGAAAACAATTTGCCATATATCAATAGTTATTGATATAAATCTGCTCAATATCCGACTGACAACACTGGGGTATTAATAATCACTTCAACTCTGCTCTACCTGATCTGCAACACTGATCTCTGCCTCCTTATGTCGAATCTCCGCCTCAAACTGGGCCCTAATGATGCTCTCAATCTTCCTAATGGCTGCTTCCTTGGCTGAAACAATAAAGCAGTACAAAAAGTATCAGAACTAGAATGAAACTTTTACCATGATTGAAAAACATCAAATTATGAATAGACCAGTTTGATAAGGTGTGTTGCGCTGTAATATGCTTTGTACAGTGTTACAGTTTTATCACAGTATGTCTGCCATTGTGATGTGGATTGAATATGTTAACCAGTTTTCATTCATGAGCACATCTTTACCGCTTACAAATCACGGATCCTAGGCAGTGGATTCTGGTAAGACCAAGAGAGGAAACTCGGCACAATAAACTGCAATGCCCCACTGTCTACAAGTGGTGTCCCACATACAACATGAACAGAAACATGTCCATTAACACAGACTCCCTGTATGTCATGAGGATTTGCTTGAGGGAGCTAACCATGCTTATAGACACACAATTTCGAACTATGGAAGTTAATCGGACTGTTCCCAATGAACATGATAGGCATGATAATGGCTGAACCATTATTATATTGTTGTGAATATTTTCTACTGACCATCATTTCTGAGTGCCATGGCATCTACGCCCAAAAAGGAATACCATCGAAGGAATACTTTTGTTGTCTATGTTTTCACTTTTGTTAATATCCAAATTTCTGAATTTCTGTGAATTGAGGTAATGAAGTTGAATCGTTTCAGAAAGGTGACATCTGATTGGCTCAGGTACTCAAGAAGACTTTACTCAGGCTGAGCATTCAAAGTAGACTCAAGGTCCACTGGACCAACCTATGAGGTGTCCTCAGATCTTCACACAGAGAGTGAGTGAGTTGGGTTTAACGCGGCCTTTAGCAGTATTCAAGTTATATCACGGCGTGTCAGCTTAATGTGGGAGAAAAGCCTGAAGTGATGCAGGTCTCAGACGTTTACCACTTCGGTGAAACCCACGAGCACGGGTATGGTGCTGACAAACCTAGAAACATAATTGGGGCGAACCGGGATTCGAACCCACAATCATAGGTTTCTGGCGTGCCCAAGGGACGCAACTCTGCACAGCGAATCGCGGCGCCTTAGACGACAGGGCCACCGTGCCCCCTTCACACAGAGAAGTGCCATATTAGATGTTGGTTGGTTGGTTGGTTGTTTAACGCCGCACTCAGCAATATTCGAGCTATATGATGGCAGTCTGTAAATAATCAAGTCTGGACCAGACAATCCAGTGATTGACATCATGAGCATCGATCCACGCAATTGGGATCGATGACATGCATCAACCAAGTCAGCGAGCCTGAACATCCAATCCCGTTAGTCGCCTTTTACGACAAGCATAGTCGCCTTTTATGGCAAGCATGGGTTGCTGAAGACCTATTCTACCCCGGATCTTCACGGGTGCCATATTAGAGTAAAAGATCGGATGTCAGTGAGATTGTCATGATTATTGAAGTTAACATGAATATTGTCAAGAGTGAGCATGGATTTATGCCACTATCAGCAATATTCCAGAAAAATCACAGCAGGGAACGCCAGAAATGGCTTCACACATTGTGGGGGATTGAACCTGGGCCTTTGGAGAGACTAGTAAACAATTTAACCAAAAGGCTATGAATGTTATCTATTTCCTAAATATTTCAAAACAAAATATCAACAATTTTACTTTTAACTATGTTAACAATTCTTACAATAATAATTGTGCCAATTTTCTATATCAAATGCTAAACACATGGACAGCATAAACTGGAGTTAATTATATCCTATCATATGCTGTACTTGGAGCCTCACCATCTTTTTCCAGAACTCTTTGTCGCTTTGCCTGCTGGTCTGTGACATCTTCGTAATCTGGGTCGATGTCGATGTGGGACCGCTTGTTACTCATTATTGCTCTTCGCTCACTCAGGGCAGCAGCACCTTTCTTTCAGCCACATTGTCATAAATAACAGGCTGAAAGACAATGTATGCCTTTTATGTTAATATTCCTTCAGACTGTTAATGAATTGGGAGGCCTGAACAAAAATTCATGTTTCCGGTAGCTAAAACTACTGAAAATGTCCTGATCCCACAAAAACATGGCTTGAGACCTACCAAACATCAGAGGTGTTTTCACCCTGCATCATGACCATATAACAAAGGATATGGTTAAGTTGTATTTCTAACATTCACATCCAGTTGTGTCATGTTTGCAGTAATACCAACATAAACTTCATGGGCCATCAATATTTTTATGGGCATAAATGTTTCATCGTTGGCATGATCTTTAGACTTGCTTGCCAAACATCATGTTTACATTTGCAAATGCATGCTGAAATATTACAGCAAACGAGACACACGATTGACGCATACATTGAACATAAATACATAACAGTATCATGTTGGTAACAGTTTGTGCAACACATATTACACATATCGTTTGTGACTGTAAACATGGTAAACATGATAAACACGACAAGAGTTCTTGATTATTTGGTGTGAATTTTTACTACTGGCTTGTCTTTGTCGAATGATTAAACTATTAAACATATGCGTTTAGAGACAAATAAAGATAAGCTGGGAATACTGTCGATTAGATAATCAGGGTCCTGGGGACATTGCTGCTCTACCGTGATACTATGAAATCAATTGAGCACCTGTTCGTGGGTGCCGCCATTTTGAGAAAATTAAAACACTTTGAAAATTAGAGTTATCTCCCCTTCTTCATCCAGCTCGCTCTGTGATGAGGTTGAATGACTTCATCATGTTCATAGTGTGAACATCCTCTTGTGCCAATTTTTGTGACAAACGTTTGTTTAAATAGTTACCCATGCAGAACCATTTCCTCATTTAATTCAATATAACACAAATAATGTTTGCAGTTTTTGTAGTTCATGCGCCAAAATTGGGTATTAATCAGATTAATAACTAGTTATTATTTACAGTTATTATTATCATTGTGTTTCAAATGGCTATATACTAGTATTTATGAAATATGGTTGCATGCTCGGGCTGAAAGCCATTTGATTATAATACGTAGTTGGGATTTTGTTTGCGATCTGCATGCTTTTCTCTTCACATAACATAGGAATTACATTATGTATATTTCTTTGATGCTTAAAGAATCTGTGAATTGCAAATGCTTGATCATTTACAGACCATCGTCATTTCTCTTGTCTGGTTGACTGCGATGAAACAACCCATTCACGAACCCCCTTACATACACACTGGACCCGTGAAGATCCGGGGTAGAATACGTCTTCAGGAACCCATGCTTGCCGTAAAAGGCAACTATGCTTGTTGTAAGAGGCGACTAACGGGATCGGGTGGTCCATCTCGCTGACTCCGTTGATGCATATCATCGATCCCAATTGCGTGGATCGATGCTCATGATGGCAATCACTGGATTGTCTGGTCCAGACTCGATTATTTACAGACCGCCGTCATTAAGCTAGAATATTGCTGAGTGCGGCGTTAAACAACAAACAAACGGAAGCGGAAACACACACACACTGAATCTTTATTGTTAATTCATTTATTATATATAACACAACCAGGATATAGCATTACTGTATAATGATGTGTATTGTAACTGAAGCAATACTACTTATTTGTTGACCCAAGCGTACGCATCCTGGATTATGCAATGTAATACATCTCCCCAAAAATATATAATTATCATAGATAACGAATGAAATCAGAATGATAAAAGATCGTGACAAAGATCATAATACACTGGATAATCGACGATAACAATTACTATTTACGCTAACTATATCTACTACTGTTACATTGGTCCATGAATTGAAAAAACCCCGTTGTGATCTTTCTTTATCGTCATTGACAGTAGGGCTTAAACATGTTTTACGGTCCTACGTCTCATCCCAACCATATTAATTAAAGACATGTCACGTCCCTAGCCGACCCCTAGCCGACTGTGATTATACAACTAATAACATCAGACACCTGCTGTGGTTCATGGTTGATTGATAAACCGAAGTGTGGTGAATACTTTCGTGGATTATTTACGCTCTGGTCGTACTGATCGATTTACATCTTCAGAAGGGCATCCGACCGGGAAGGAGAATTAATCAAATTTGTGAGTTCCAGCACGTAGAATTTCCGGTCGTGATCGGGAAGCAGAATTTGTCCAAGGCCTCAAGGCAAAAAACTTTCAGAATGTGGATTTTACCCAAATATTAGCCCTGCAATTAAACATGCTTGGTGTTGCATGTATCTACTCAGTTACAGGATGTTTGTGTCAATATGTCAGACTGTGTGAAGTATTTTTAAACGAAAGACAATTTGAACCATTGTTATGACACAGAACAGAACGCTTATTGCGTTCAGCGGGTTCCACAACCACATATGATTGTAACAGAACATTGAGGTTAACATATGATTATACATGCATTGACACATATGATTTACGTTGATGATTTATAGCACATGATTAAATGACCACAAACTGCGTAATATTATCGTTAAACAAGACTGTCAGTTTCGGAACAATGGACAAAATTTACTTTCACAGTAATCATATTGAATACATGTATATTTCTGTATTATATTATCTAAAAAAAGCAGAGGGCAGTTCGAAAATATCAGATCATGTTGGCGGGGAAATGTAAGGATGCACACAACCAACAATGACGACAGGGGTGTGTAGTAAAAACAGGATCTTGATCAATAATGGGTCAGCCCTCACGATTGGTTAAACGTTTGTTTATACGTCGGGGCATGGTCCGAATCAATCTTCCAATGATAATTTGAGGGAGTCGCGTCCCCTTCTCTTGCAGCGCCTGGCCGTACTGGGTGGCCTTTGACGTCAGCGTACGTCTCCCGATCATGTCCCAGACGTGCTCTATGGGTTGGAAGCCAGGACTAGTGCAAGGCTGGCCATAGCATTCTGGTGATGTTTTGCTGCTGGAGGTAGCCAGTTACGAAACAAGCAAGGTGGGCGCGAACGATATCATTTTGAAAGACAAAACGTAGACCAGCATGACACGCAAACGGCATACCTATTGGCGTTATTCCGTTGTCACGGTAGTACTGTCAAGTGACCCTTCCATGAACAATATGCAGTGGCGTTCTGGCAGGCATAGTGATAAATATCACCCCAAAGACCCAACCCCACATCTGTCGTTGATACGTCTAGATCTACATCCAGAAAGTCCAGAAAGGAATCTGGACTTGTCTGAAAACATTACAGACCATCGGCGATTCCGCAGTTTCTACACTCTAAACACCATTGGTGTTGCTAGAATGTGTCGATTTGTTGACGGTGGCACAACACGTGGTTGCTGAGCATGCAGATTTTTGTAATCGTCAGTAAATTGAACCCCGGTGGCCTGGCGCAAGTGAACAGCAATTGGATTTGCTGTTTGGGCTTGTTTCTGATCAATCCGGAGTTTACGCGTGGATGATGAAACCAACAATACTAATGGCTCAGAACGAGTTAACGACATTTTGCTGACCCCCTGCCCACGTGCACGGAGGAACTGCATGGTCCACTTGCAATGTTTCGGGTGTGTTTGGGCGTTAGGATTTAGTTCCGAAACCGTTCTATCGCTGGCAGTCATGTTTCAAAGTTGATCTTTCTTCTAACGGCCGATCATAACACTTATTTTTAATATATAATATAGGGACATACTGAAATTGCGTGATACCGGCATTACATAAGTTCATTTATATTATATTTTTAAACATAAATGTCTGTTCCATTTTACACTTTTGCACAGTTCACTGATGTACAAAGAGATTATGACAGCTTGACCTAAACTTAGCGAAGTGATTCTTATACTCATACATATGTGCAGTGTACATAAAACGGTATTTTGTGAGTTCCTTCTCTTTGGTGAATAAATTCATTATTGTTCGTTATCGGATTACCAGCCTATCGACTGACCGTACTACAACAGAGAGACGATGATGAACTAGCTGCACGATACTGCTGTCTGTACTAACCACCCTTTACAAACACTGTGACGTCTTGGTTTTGATGAATAGATCAGAAAACACAAAATAGAAGATAATCCCCGCGGGAAATTCCGTTGAGTGACAGCCCATGAGCAGTATGTTTATTTCCAGCTTGATATGTACATGGTAATGTACTTCACCACGATTGACTGAAATACAATACTGTGAACCGTTGGTTGGTCTAGCCGGCGCACTGATATCTACGTATACAGCAGAGAGCACAGCAGAGTATACTTCTGTGAATGGATTAAATAGCTTCCCTTTCGAAATTATTGTCTGAGATTCGGTTTTACTGTAATGGGGCGGGCATGCGTGTTTCCCAAAACCGACTGTACATGTTTATTGAATGTAAATCTACCGATAATATTATTATAAGCTGTCAGCAACCCGCCGTGACACGTATTATGCATGGCAAATGAAAACTGTATGCAAATGGTCAGGTCCTTAACTTGACTTTCCCAAGGCATGGTTGAGTATCCAGAAACAAGTCAGCAATAAATCCCCATTCATGTTTTGAATTTTACTTTACATATATTATGTATGGATAATAATATGTGCCATTTTCTCTTCACAAGGGCGGTCGGGTAGCATAGTGGTTAAAATGTTCGCTCGTCACGCCAAAGACCCGGGTTCGATTCCCGACATGGGTACAATGTGTGAAGCCCATTTCTGGTGTCCCCCGCCGTGATATTGCTGGAATATTGCCAAAAGCGGCGTAAAACCATACTCACTCACTTACTCACTCACTCACTCACTCACTCACTCTTCACAAGGTGACTATTTATGCACAGAACATAGAAGAAAATAATTATAAAAATCAGTTGATAACGCTAAATACATTATTTTTCCAAAAGAAATATTTGGCCATTTTAGGCAAAGAAAAACATTTCTTAGTTCTTCCTGATTGATCAAGTTAAAAGTGCGGGATACTTCCATGGTTGTCTTTCCAGCAGGTGTACGACTTGCCTACTTCAACTATTCATAAGGGGTCCTGGCGGAAGATCAGGCATAGTTCGATTCTCCACGCATCTTCCCGAGTCAAGGGCGTTTTCCACAACTGGACTTGTATAGTCGGTTAATTCCCTTGCCTAGGGAAGACACCGACATGGGTATACTTTGTGAAGCCTATTTCTGGTGTAGCCTCGACGTGATATTGCTAGAATTTTGGAAGAGCGGCAACAAACACTAATCTCTCACTTAGCTTTATTTGCAGTTTTGAAAGAAGCTATTTATAGGAGAATATATATCGTATCTTGCACATCATAAACACCAGGTACACGCCACATCGCGTGTAGCCCATTTCTGGTGTCCCCCGCCGTGATATTGCTAGAATATTTCTAAAAGCGGCGTAAAACCACACTCACTAACTCAAAGAAAGCACAAACGACTGAAGGGTTTGTGCAGCACGTGATGGGTCGAAAGGCACACCTGTGTTCAAACCTTGTAATTGTATGAGTTCATGTCTATCTACTTTGCAGCAGTCAATGATTTATCAGCCTTTGCCGTGGTCATGAGCTAGAGAATTATGCAACACTGCCCAAGGACTTTCATACGCACTTTAGTCTGGCACTCATCTGATAGCTTGTTTGTTTTTTATGTTGTTTAACGCCGCACTCAATAATATTCCAGCTATGTGACGGCGATCTGTA